TCTCTACCAATTTTTTTTTTTTTTAAATTAGAGGGCATGGTGGCATCTGCCTGTGGTCTCAGCTAACAGGGAGGCTGAGGTAGGAGGATCACTTGAACCCTGGAGGTTGAGCCTTACAGGGAGCCACAATCACACCACTGCACTCAAGCCTGGGTGACAGAGTAACATCCTGTTTCAAAATCTTCTTGGGAAGATTATAAAACAAAACAAAAGTGCCTCCTCTGAACCTAGAATCAATGACACTGCAGTAGGAAGAAGTACACGCAGTGCTCAGATCTTAGTTTGTAATATCATTCTCCTTAGAGAAATGGCAGGGGTGGAGAATACACAAGATGAGCCTGGAATATCTTATCATACCAGAAAGTAAGGAAATGCTCAAAAACACCACAATGGGGGCTTGCAAGACACAAGAGCCAACTTAAAGAGCTCCTAGTCACCGAAGCTGGAATAATTTGAGCAATAAAATAAATAAAATAGTGTTGAGAATATAACCGAAAGTATAAAATAAATAACCATGACTTCATACTAATAAAAATAAATGATTGAATAAGTAAATAAATAGGGGAGAATAAACAAATCTCTCAAACGAAAGAATTCTGCCCCTCAAAGTGGTGGAATATAGATAACTCCCCATCCCTAAGTGAAGGCTGCTCATACTGATTTCTTCCCAAAGATAAAAATGAGGCAAGGAGGAAAAAAGTTAACTTCACAGTGAAAACAACTGACAAACATGACCTCAGACATGTGATGAGGCTTAAAATCACTAGTGATCATCATTAGTGATAAATGGTTGAGAGCACATTCCTTTGACGTTATTTGATGAGAATGGCCCTTTACCTCTGTGACCTTTCCCTCAAAAATCCATAACTCCAGTCTAATTATAAGAAAAACATTCAGGCCAGGTGTGGTGGCTCATGCCTGTAATCCCAGCACTTTGGGAGGCTGAGATGAGTGCATCATGAGGTCAGGAGTTTGAGACCATCCTGGCTAACATGGTGAAACCCCATCTCTATGAAAAATACAACAAATTAGCTGGGCATGGTGACATGAGCCTGTAATCCTAGTTTCTCGGGAGGCTGAGGCAGGAGAATTGCTTGAACCTAGGAGATGGAGGCTGCAGTGAGCCAAGAGTACACCACTGCACTCCAGCCTGAGCAACAGAGTGAGACTCCATCAAAAAAAAATAATAATTTGACAACCCAAACTGTTGTGGACCGTCTGGGACGGGTAGGCACGTCTGCCCGGGGTCTCTCGACCTGCAAGAGGGTCCCAATACCTGGAAGAGGGAGTGCGCCTGGAAAATTAATAAAGACAGAGAGAGAGAAAGCGAGGCGTCTGGAGGGCTGATACGCTGTGCCTAAACAGCAAATTTTATTTTTCAAAGGCCAGGAATAAATACACTTTCTTGGCTCTGGTTTACATCATAGTAAGAGGAAATGCAAATGTATGCCTCACATGGCCTATGCAATAGAGAAGTCAGATATGCAATCAGTGGTTGTAAAAAGTAACAGAATTTCCTGTAATCACAAAGCTTGTTTGCATCCAAACATTATTCACAAAGCTTGTTTACGTCCAAACATTATTCCTCCTGGCTGCAGGTATCTCTGGTTTTACCTTGTTTTAGAACTGAGATGTGAAAAGGTTTTCTGGTTTTGCTCATCAGAATATCTTTTAATCAGATTCTCCTTTGTTTGCTCCTGACTCAACTTAACTCAACTTCCCCATTCAGGAGTCTCTGAGTCAGAAATCAAAGTCATCCCTTATGGTGGCATTTGCTTTGCAAATATCGACAGTTAAACCATTATCTAGGGTACAAGGCAGTCGGGTAAGTAAGGTTTAAGGCTTATTCTTAAAGAGTCATAAAAAGGTTAAAAGCAGGAACCGGTTGCCGTCAGGGTCACTCGGTGTAGCAGCAAGGCATAGTTTTAGGCCCAAAGGATATTGTGGTTGATATTAGAAACTGATCATTCATCTTTAAGTTCCTGTTTTTCCGGATAGCTCGACTGCCTCCAGTAGGAAACTGTGTTTGGGATCAAACTCACCTTATAGTGAGACTCACACCTTTTGCGGGTCTCACACGGGAATGTTCCCCACACCAAACTAGGAGACTTTCTACAAAACCTACCAAAACTGTCAAGCAATGAAAGTCATGAACTGTCAATCTAGAGGAGCCTAAAGAGGCAAGATAACTACATGTAATGTGGCATCCTGGATAAGATCCTGGAACTGAAAAGGATATTAGGTAAAAATTAAAGAAATTCAAATCAAGTATGAACTTCAATTAATAATTCATTATCTATACTGGCTTATGATGATATATGAATTATACTAACCTAAGATCTTAATAATAGGTCAAACTAAGCAAAGGCTATGGTGAACTCACTGTACTGTCTTTGCAACATTTATGTAAACCTAAAATTTCTAAAACAAAAAGTGTATAAAAAAAAAAAAAAGAGGGCTGGGCGCGGTGGCTCAAGCCTGTAATCCCAGCACTTTGGGAGGCCGAGGCAGGTGGATCACGAGGTCGAGAGATCGAGACCATCCTGGTGAACATGGTGAAACCCCGTCTCTACTAAAAATACAAAAAATTAGCTGGGCATGGTGGCACGTGCCTGTAATCCCAGCTACTCAGGAGGCTGAGGCAGGAGAATTGCCTGAACCCAGGAGGCGGAGGTTGTGGTGAGCCGAGATCGCGCCATTGCACTCCAGCCTGGGTAACAAGAGCAAAACTCCGTCTCAAAAAAAAAAAAAAAAAAAAAAAAAGAAAAAGAAAAAGAAAAAAGAATTCATCTGGTTTAAAGTCTTTCAAGTCTGTTGGAACCTATATTCCCTGGCCCAAGTCTTCTATAACCTTGGATATCTGGGAGCTTGATAGCAGTAGAGAATCTCAGGCCTATCCCAGATATAGTAGGTTTCTCAGAGAAACAGTGCCCATTGGGTAGTTTGGGTAATAAAGTTTTGGCTTTCACAATATAGGCCAGCCAACTCCAGACCCAAAACAGATGATGATACATATGCCTGGAGACCCAGGAGGATCTGTGGTACAGATCAAGTCTGAAGACACTCTGCTGGAGAAGTCCCCCTTGCCTGGGGAGGAGACATGGGGGAGTTGGACTTTTTATTCTAGACAGGCCTTCAACTGCTTGAATGACGCCCACCGAGATTATGGAAGGCAACCAGATTTACCCAAAGTACAGTAATTTTAGTGTTAACCTCATCAAAAAACATCCTGCAAGTTAACACATAAAATTAACCATCACACCAGATTTGCTGAATCTGAATCTACATTTTAAAAGGATTTTCCGGGTGACTCTGCATAATCAAGTTTGAGAATGGCATTTTCCTACAACCCTTAGAGAGTGTAAATAATCTACATGGTAATTCAGCAACTAAGAAACAAGGCTTGATTTGCTGCTTTGAGAACTTCCCTAGCATTTACTGATCTGGAGGTACGGATGCCTGCAGAAATCCTCACCCTCCCTTTTGGGTAAAGGACCTTCCTCTTTGCTCCCACATGGACCTCACCATGCTTGTAATCTACTTTACTAAATTATTAGTTTGTGGGTCTTCCCTGTCTACACCACTCTCAGAGAGCATTTACCCCATCTTTTCTACCTCCACAGAGACAGCCTTTATTAGTGGCACCAGATCTGCCCCACCAACACAAGCTGGGTTTTCCTTCAGGCGTCTGTCCTGCACACCCTGACCCAACAATGGATAAATAAGTACATTCTAACACAGAATACAATGGAAGAGAAGGCTGGGGTGTCCTGGCCATTCACCTCAAAGTAGTTAATAGCAGCTCCCCCCACCCAACTCCCTGGTCTTCCTGGCCTTTATTCAGCATACGTTAAATGACAAAGGCTTTGAGGATAAAGATTAAAGGCCAGCTTCTGAGGCCTAAAGCAATCACCATTAATATCCCAAGGTAATATCCCTGGTAGACATCCCCCTGAGAGAGTCATCCAGAAAAATCAAAGGTTAGTTTTAGGACTTGAGTAAACAAGTTAGATAAAGTCCCCACACATTCCTTTGTTTCTGCTCTAATTTATTTAACTAAGGGGACAAGGTTGCCTTCAACCAAGTACTATAGTAAAAATCTGCAGGCCTTCCAAAAGGGTTTCTGTATATTCTCTGTAACTAAAATTTCTCCCACCGGCCTGACTGAACCCCCACATTTTCCTAGTTTCACTTTCTCAGAGTCTGTAAATGCTAGCACAATCTATCCAAATTATATTGTGGAGATATAACACGCACACATACATCAGAGGATTCCATAGGTCAAACCATATGAAACTACCTACGCTGATTATTTTTACCTATAAAACCAACAATTTCATAGGACTCAACAAATTTCCATTGCTGTTTTTTCACCTCAAAGCTATTTTAGTGCCAGGAGGAGTGTCTCATGCCTATAATCCCAGCACTTTGGGAGGCCAATGAGAGGACTGCTTGATCCCAGAAGTTCGAAATCAGCCTGGGCAATATAATGAGACCTCGCCGCTACAAAAATAAAAAGTAAAACCAAAATTAGCCAGCCATGGTGCTGTGTGCCTGTAGTCCCAGCTACTTGGGGGAGGTGAAATAAGAGAACCGTTTGAGTCCAGGAGTTCCAGGTTGCCGCAAGCTGTGATTGCGCAATTGCATTCCAGCCTGGGCAAAAGATCAAGACATTGTCCGAAGAAGAAAAAAAAAAGCTATTTTAGGGACAATATGCTGTCACAGTCACGGGGTAGATCGTACAAAGGTTGCTAACAGTATGGCAACTGACCGCTAACAACTGAATGTCAAATTGTCACAAATGCACACCACCCACTTCCCTAGCTCGGTCGAAGACCTCCCCTTAATTATGTGCAATTCAAGTCCCCACCGCCCTGCTGCAATCACCCACACTTCCTCGTTGCAGGAAGGGGTGCCCCTGCACTTTACAAGAGGGTGCAGGAGCGGAGACGGTGGTCGGAACCCCGGCTCCCCGGCGTGCGTTGCAGACCGGAGGGGCGGGCTCACTTTGCGCCAGTCCCGCCAGAACTCCTGGAACTCCGCTTCCCTCGCCCAACCCACGCCACAGTTGCCCACACCTAAGATGGCGGCGGGGGCGGAGTCGGCGGTGCCGTCTCTGGGCGGGGTCGCGGGGACGAGACGTGTCCGGGAGGCGGTGCCAACGCCCCCGACCCGGCTGCTCCGGCCAGCTGTTGGGTCGGCGCGCCCTTCTCTGCCAGGCGGCGAAGGCGCCCGCTCCACGTAGGCGTCATGAGGTCGCCGGTTCGGGACCTGGCCCAGAAGGATGGCGAGGAGAGCACGGATCGCACACCTCTTCTGCCAGGCGCCCCACAAGCCGAAGCCGGTATGCGCCGGGGTCTTCGAGGGGCTTCGGGTAGGCGGCGGACCCGGGGGCAGCGGGCTCTGGGCGGGCATGGCCGGGGTACCCGCACCCTGCGCCGGCGGGGCCGGAGCTGCTCAGGCGCTAGGAGAGAGTAGGAGGGGTGCCCGTTCAGAGTCCCGCTCAGCCCCGCCTGCCTCGGGGCCCAGAAGCCCCTCGGGAACCCCGGGGGCCGGACCGTGACCGCGGAGCCGAGCCGGGGCCTCGGCGGGTGCAGCCCCGCGGGGCGGGGACGAGGAGCGGCTGTACAGCCGGCGCTGAGCTGGTGCTTATTTTGGGTAGTGCTGAGCGAGGGACCCAGTGGAAGAACGAACTGGGAGCGAACCTTCAAATGAATGGGCTAAGGTCCGTGCGAGGGACCCCGGTGTGAGAGCGAACTGGAGGAGAAACCTGCAAATCAGTAGGCAAAGGGCTGCCCTTTCCTGTCACTGCTAGGTTTCCGCCACTGCGTATCCGCCAGCATGTGACCTGGTAGCCTCTTAGGCGGGGAGGGGAAACAAAAAAGGACTGGAGTTAACATTTGTGAGTGTGCAGAGGGCAATTATTGCATCACCCAGAGAATGTCTTGACAGTACAGACAGTAATGTCTTGTGCAGTAAGAGACTAAAGACATTGAGGACATTTTTTTTTTCCATCTGGCAGTCTATGACTTAAGTTAGGAAACAGTTCAGTTATCCTCAAAATATCTATAGAGTGCTAAGGTAATTTGCCAAAGGTCTTGGAACAAATCAAAAAGCAGGTACTTCATAAAGCATCTTCCCTAAATTTGAGGAAATTAAAATATTTTGCTATTTGACACTTTTGTAGTATATTTAAAAGTAACGAAAACTAAAGAGCAAATCCGTTTGCATGCATTCTATAGTTTCAAATATGTGTGTGTCTGAGAAAGAGTTGCATTGGAAATCTGACTTTGGCTGACCCAGAATTGTATAGTTTTCTATATTTTTTATATTTTTAATGTTACCAGATGATGGCAGTAGAGGTGGCAAGATTGTAGCTCCAAATGGCAGCTGGGAGCTTACTTTAGTCAACACAAACTGTAAATACCGTACCATAGTTACGTTTTACCTGGAAGTCAGATTTAGTTCCATAAACTGATCATTTTCTGTGGCTTGTAGCGTTTAAATTTTATAATATTCCTCATAAAATATAGAAATACAGAAATAAAAGTTATAATAAAGATGTGTGCCAGAAACTTTTGTATTTTTACAATTGAAAAATATGTATATGTATAATCAAAATTTAGCTCAAGTGTTAATCATTTTTCTCAGGAAAATGCAGATTAAAACTACAATGAGGCACTATACAACCACTAGAATAGCTAAAATCAAAAAGGCTGAGGATACCAAATGTTGGCAGAGATGTGGATAGAAAAGCTATACATCTCAATCAGGATTGAGATGGACAAATGTATAAATTTATCATGTAAATTATATTTTAATAAAGTTGATTTTTTTAAAAAGTAGCTCATAGCATCACTTTTAAAAACAATCCCTATTTGAATCATGGGTTGAATATATAGATCTTAGAGTACTGGCCCTGTCCTTGCTGGCTTGAGGTGGCTACCTTCATTATAACCATTTCTTTTTTTTTTTTTTTTTTTTTCTGTTTTTACATACCCACTGGAGAGCAAGCGAAGTGGAAATAGTAGTAACGTATTGTTTTTGCTATTTAGAATATGATAAAAGTTTTAAAGAGGAGGAGCATATATGGCAATCAAGAGAGGTATATAATGAACCTCCATGTAACCGGCACCCAGATTAAACAGTTATCAATTCATGGCCTGTCTTGCTTCATTTGTTCTTACGCTCATACATACTAGGTATTTTGAAGCAAATCCCAGATACCATGTCATTTCATATGTAAATGTTTCTGCTATTTAGCTCTAAAAGATACCCTTTTTAGCATAACTACATAACTACTGTACTGTTATCAAAACAAAAAATATGAAATACTCAGTGTTCATATTTCCTCAGTTTTATATATATATATATATATATATATTTTTTTTTTTTTTTTTTTTTTTTTTTTTGAGACGGTCCTGCTCTGTCACCCAGGCTGCAGTGCAGTGGTGTGATCTTGGCTTACTGCATCCTCCACCTCCCAGGTTCCAGTGATTCTCCTGCCTCAGCCTCCCAAGTAGCTGGGATTACAGGCCCATGCCACCACACCCAGCTAATTTTCTTATTTTAGTAGAGATGGAGTTTCACCATGTTGGCCAGGCTGGTCTTGAACTTCTGACTTCAGGTGGTCTGCCCGCCTTGACCTCCCAAAGTGCTAGGATTACAGGCGTCAGCCACTGTGCCCAGCCTATGTCCTAATTTTTTATAGTGTGTTCAAATCAGGATCTCCATCATGTCCATACCTTCCAAATGATTGAAATGTTTTTTGTCTCTTTTAAGATCTATTTCCCCCTCCCTCCTTTTTTTATACTTCCAATTTTATATGCCTATGCTATCCTTTAACATATTCTTCTGCCCTACTGGTTTACTGTAAATTGGTTAATTGGTAGGTCTGACAGTTTGATAGGATTATGAGTCTGTCTCTCTGAATTACTGTCATGAGTATTCCATAAGTAGAATGTGAAGTGTAGAAAGTAGAATTGTGTCAGCATGCTAATTCTCCCATACACTGCTCTAGACACTAGAGATAAAAAGAAGTGAATGAAACAGAACAAAAGCTCCTGCCCTTATAGATTTTTATATTCTAGTGTGTATTTTCCTAAACCTTCAACCCTCTCCATTTTGCTTTCTTCTTGGGTTATAACCAAGTCTAACACTTTATTTTCTTTTTTTTTTTTTTCATCGTTACGCTCTGTTGCACAGGCCGAAATGCAGTGACACAAACAGGGCTCACTGTAGCCTCAACCCCCCAGGCACAAAGTGACCCTCCTACCTAAGCCTCCTAAAGAGCTAGGGCTACAGGCATGTGTCACCATACCTGGCTAATTTTCTTCTTTTTCTTTTTTGTAGAAACAAGGTCTCACTTAGTTGCCCAGGCTGGTCTTGAACTCCTGGGCTCAAGCGATCCTCCTGCATCAGCCTCCCAAAGTGCTGGGATTATAGGCGTGAGCCACAGCACCCGGCCCAACACTTTATTTTCTTGCCAATACTTTCAGTTCCCTTGCCCTCTGCTTTGTAATCACATCCATCTCAGTGCCGACTATCTGCTTTCTTAGTACCTACTCCTGAGCGCAGGCACTCAGTACTCAGTGCTTGTGAAGTTACACACTAGGACAGATTGTTCCCACCTGTTCTGTATGGGTATCTGCCCAGCATTCCTGTGTTTCACTGGGAACCTCATGCCTCCACTCTTTTCAACAACTGCTTTTCACAAATCCTACTTTCTCACAAATGAGAACCCCAGTTCCTAACAAATAACCTAAATTCCTAATATCCAGAAAATAAAAAACGTAATAATAATTCACAGTTACTTTACGCTAAGCTCTTCTAGGTATTTTACATTACTAACTTAGTGAACCCTTCTAATAATCCTAATACAGGCCAAACACTTGGACTAGTGCCAAGCATATACTAAGTGCTTAGTGATATTTGTTTTTTGAGACAGAGTCTTACTCTGTTACCCACGCAAAGGTGCAGTGGCACAATCACAGCTCACTGCAGCCTCAACTTGCCAGACTCAAGCCATCCTCCCACCTCAGCCTCCCCAGTAGCAGGGATTACAGGTGTGCAACACCACAACCAGCTGATTTTTTAAATTTTTTGTAGGAATGGGGTTTCACCATGTTGCCCAGGCTGGTCTCAAACTCCTGACCTCAAGCAATCCTCCCCCATTTCAGCTTCCCAAAGTGCTGGGATTACAAGTGTGAGCCACCATACCCTGCTTGCTTAATAAATATTCTGTTATTGGCTGGGTGCAGAGGCTCATGCCAGTAATCACAGCACTTTGGGAGGCCAAGGTGGGTGGATTGCCTGAAATCAGGAGTTTGAGACCAAGCTAGCTAACATGGTGAAATCCCATCTCTACTAAAAATACAAAGATTAGCTGGGTGTGGTGGTGCACACCTGTAGTCTCAGATACTTGGGAGGCTGACGCAGGAGAATTGCTTGAACCTGGGAGACACAGGTTGCAGTGAGCTGAGATGGTGCCAAAGCACTCTAGCCTGGGTGACAGAACAAGTCTCCGTCTCAAAAAAAAAATAAATTATCTATCGTTTTATGTTATTAAACTTAATACTCACTATCTCACTCAATAGTGTTAGTTCTTAGAGTTACTACAGTATGTAGCAAAAAATAAAGTTTTTTAGAGTAAGAGAATTACTAGTAACTTCATCCCTCCCCTTTACTTACTCCCACATCTACCTTTGGGCAAAGCCTGTTAATTCTCCTTTTAAACATCTCAAATCTGCCCATTTTTCTTCTCTGCTGCTTTCACTCTAGTTTAAGCCACCTTCATCTCTTACCTGGAGAGCTACAGTAGTCCCTTAAGTGATCTCCCTGACTGTACATTCCCCATTCCCATTCACACTTCTCCTTTCTATAATCTCCATGCAAGGACCAGATGAGCTCTTTAAACCATCAGCTGGATAAGCTCTTTAAACCATAATTCACATGTCCTCACGCCTTTGCTGAGATAATGATCTTTTTTGTGTGTGTGTATTTTTTTTTTTTTTTTTTTTTTTTTTTTTTTTTAGTACAGATTGGGTTTCACCATGTTGGCCAGGATGGTCTCGATCTATTGACCTCTTGATCCGCCCGACTCGGCCTCCCAAAGTGCTGGGATTACAGGCGTGAGCCACTGCGCCCGGCCCGATAATGATCTTTTTAAATACTGCATGACAAAGCATACATAGTACCTAAATCTAGATTTGTCTTGCTCCAAAATGCTTAAAGTAACAGATTTTAATGCACAAATGTAGCGAGATTATGAGTCCTTCATCCAGACTTTTAGGTAATGTCACCTGACACAGAGCAATGATAAAGAAAATGTGTTCTGCCAGGCACAGTACCCCACGCCTATAATCCCAGGGCTTGGGGAGACTGAGATGGAAGGATTACTTGAGGTCAGAAGTTTAAGACCAGCCTGGGCAACATAGTGAGAACTTGACTCCGCAAAGAAAAAATTTAAAAATTAGTCAGATATGCTGGCATATGCCTTTAGTACCAGCTACTCAAGAGGCTGAGGTGAGAGGATCACTTGAGCCCAGGAGTTTGAGGTTACAGTCAGTTATGATCACCCACTGTACTCCAGCTTGGACAACAGAGCAAGACCCTGTCTCTAAAAAAACAAAAGAAGAAAAAAGGAAATGTGTGTGGTTTTTTTACAAAAAATGCCTCTCAGTATCCAAACTGTCAACTGGACAACTGCCCATTTGGATGAAACAGAAGGCAAATTCACCTGGATTCTAGTTATAGAGACAATGTGAACAGAACTTCAGAAATTCAGTTCTTACAGATCTGGCTCTAAGTATGGTAATGGTACCATGAACTTCATAGCTGTGCCCCTGAAGAAAGGATTTAAGAATGCCAAATGAAAAGGTTTCTATTAGCTGGACACAGTGGCTCAAGCCTGTAATCCCAGCACTTGGGAGGTCGAGGCGGGTGGATCACGAGGTCAAGAGATCGAGACCATCCTGGTCAACATAGTGAAACCCCGTCTCTACTAAAAATACAAAAAATCAGCTGGGCATGGTGGCGCGTGCCTGTAATCCCAGCTACTCAGGAGGTTGAGGCAGGAGAATTGCCTGAACCCAGGAGGCGGAGGTTGCGGTGAGCCGAGATCTTGCCATTGCACTCCAGCCTGGGTAACAAGAGCGAAACTCCATCTCAAAAAAAAAAAAAAAAAAAAGTTTTCTATTAAGAGAAGTAAATCTTAGAGAAAAAATTAATAGCAGTTGTTAAAATATATAAGAGCATACAGAAAAGTTAGTTGGATCATAATATATTAATATACACTTAAGTATAGTTGTGCATATTCATTAATGTTTCAGTCCAAATCAGTTCATCTGAGTCAGTATTAAGACTTTTGTATTCTGTAAAATATATTCTCTCCTTTGATGCTAGGTCAATGAAAGCACCAAGATTCTTAAGTAGGAGAAAAACATGCACACATATATGATGTTGATGTGTCATTACTAAATAAAAGCACACATATTTGCATGTATAGTTACTTTTAATTTTAATATGCCATTTCTTAATGAAATACATATTTAGGTCTTTAAAGAGATGCTTATCAGCCACGCAGAGTTTACTAAACTAAAGATGTTCAGACTCTGAATTTGCTAATTTCTCTGTTACTAAGAGGTTGATTATCCTTAGCTTCCTGAATCTCATCCCTCTCCAATTCTGCAACTCAGTAAAAGAAGGAAAAAGAGAAACTATGTATAAGCCCACAGTTAGAGTAAAAAATAGGTCAAACTACTCTCACATGATCCTTTTATTGGTTCCTCCAACCTACTCTGCATTCCTTTTTTTCTTAAATCTTCGTGGTACATTCACTCATTTCCCTTTTGGCTGTGAGCCCTTTAAGCATGATAACTACTGAGCAACTGTTACAGATGCTGCAGCTGTCATAGGTTCTGCAAGTTTGTGTCCAGATTCTTAAATGCATTTAGTTTATGATGGCTTTTAAGTAATCATGGCTTCTGATTCAAACCCAGCCTTTGAGGATACTCTTCGAGGTAAGAAATTTATCAAGAGAAATTTCATACCTTACCTTTGGCAGTAAATTTTTTTTTCTATGCTATACTTACAATGAGATGGCTACTAACTCATAGTAATATAGCATGTCATTGTAAGTAGTGAAGTACTTATTGACCATGTTTCAGATAGTTTTTCAGGAATAGTAATGCCATTAAACCTCCTTACCTACTTTTCTCATGCTGTATATCTGTGCTAGCTGACAGGGAATAGGGGTTCAGATTGAATCTGGAATAGATCTTTTTCTCAGCAAAGGTGATAAAACTACTACCTCCATGTTTTTGTGGTTTTTTTGTTTTTTGTTTTTTGTTTTTTGTTTTTTTTTGAGATGGAGTGTCGCTCTTGTTACCCAGGCTGGAGTGCAATGGCACGATCTCGGCTCACCGCAACCTCCACCTCCTGGGTTCAAGCAATTCTCCTGCCTCAGCCTCCTGAGTAGCTGGGATTACAGGCACGTGCCACCATGCCCAGCTAATGTTTTGTATTTTTAGTAGAGACGGGGTTTCACCATGTTCACCAGGATGGTCTCGATCTCTCGACCTCGTGATCCACCCGCCTCGGCCTCCCAAGGAGCTGGGATTACAGGCTTGAGCCACCGCGCCCGGCCCTACCTCCATGTTTTAATGAACTTTCTTATAGTTCAGGCTCTCGTGTGAAATTTTTACCAAAACTGCAGATACGAGGAACAGCTAATCTTTTTTTTTTTTTCTTTTTTTGAGACGGAGTTTCGCTCTTGTTACCCAGGCTGGAGTGCAATGGCGAGATCTCGGCTCACTGCAACCTCCACCTCCTGGGTTCAGGCAATTCTCCTGCCTCAGCCTCCTGAGTAGCTGGGATTACAGGCACGTGCCACCATGCCCAGCTAATTTTTTGTATTTTTAGTAGAGACGGGGTTTCACCATGTTGACCAAGTTGGTCTCAATCTCTCGACCTTGTGATCCACCCGCCTCGGCCTCCCAAAGTGCTGGGATTACAGGCTTGAGCCACCGCGCCCGGCCGGAACAGCTAATCTTTGATCAATGTTTCTTAGATTTGTTTAATCTGAGAATATTCTTTAAATTTCTTTTATAATTATTTTTGTACTTTTGAAAAGCAACCTTTTTCATTATTTAGACAGTATCATGTAATTAGCTATTTTAATTAATGTGGCTGGGTGTGGTGACCGATGCCTATAATCACAGCACTTTGGGAGGCTGAGGTAGGTGGATGGCTTGAGCCTAGGAGTTCGAGACCAGCCTGAGCAACATGGCAAAACCCTGTCTCTAAAAATGAAAATTTAAAAATAAATAAAAATTTTCCCCAATCTTTATTTCAGCTCCAGTGTGCTGCTCTGCCCGTTACAACTTAGCAATTTTGGCCTTTTTTGGTTTCTTCATTGTGTATGCATTACGTGTGAATCTAAGCGTTGCGTTAGTGGATATGGTAGATTCAAATACAACTTTAGAAGATAATAGAACTTCCAAGGCGTGTCCAGAGCATTCTTCTCCCATAAAAGTTCATCATAACCAAACGGTAGGTGCTATTTTTTAAGGAAACAACCTTAATTAAAAAAAAAAAACTTACAAGTAAAAATATTAAAAGGTATTTTTTCATCCTACAGAAACCACAAACACTTTGTTTATGTATACTCTGAATCACTTTCTTTTTCTGTTTTCCCAGGAACTGATTGGGCAATAACTTGTAACTATAGCTACTACTGCTATGCCATAATACATATTGATCTGTTTGAAAAATAGTTCTTCCATTCCTTCTATAAATATACCATCTTGAAGAAAATTTGGAAAAACCTGTTTTACATAATAAAATTAAACTGTTTTAAATTTTCTAAATAGCTATTATAGGAGTATCATTTATAACCCTTTATCACAGGATTACTGCTGCAAGAGAGTTTAGGTAATCTCATTTGCAAGATGAAAAATAAGAACTAGCCAATTTCTTAGGATATTCTTTTCTGAATGTACACATGCATAACCTAACCTATTTAAGTCATTTTGCCTGCCTTATGTTATAGTGGAATTGATAAATGTGTGTTCATCATTTGTTTATAATTAAGTTATATACACTTTATTTTGCTTATCACACAAGGAGACAGTACAGAAAGAAAAGCTAGTACTCTTTTTAGAAGTATATTTTCAGGCTGAGTGTAGTGGCTCATGTCTGTAATCCCAGCACTGTGGGAGGCTAAGGCTGGTGGTTCACTTGAGGTCAGAAGTTCAAGACCAGCCTGGCCAACATGGCGAAACCCCATCTCTACTAAAAATACAAAAATTAGTTGGTTGTGGTAGCACACACCTACAATCCCAGCCTCTCAGGTGGCTGAGGCAGGAGAATCGCTTGAACCTTGGAGGCGGAGATTGAAGAGAGCCAAGATTGTACCACTTTACTCTAGCCTGGGCAACAAAAGCAAGACTTGTCTCAAAAAAAAAAAAAAAAAAGGCTGGGCACAGTGGCTCTCACCTGTAATCCCAGCACTTTGGGAGGCTGAGGTGAGCAGATCACCTGAGGTCAGGAGTTTGAGACTAGCCTGACCAACATGGAGAAAACCTGTCTCTGCTAAAAATACAAAATTAGCTGGGCATGGTGGCACATGCCTAGTAGTAGTCCCAGCTACTTGGGAGGCTGAGGCAGGAGAATCACTTGAACCCAGGAGGTGGGGTTGCAGTGAGCTGAGATCATGCCATTGCACTCCAGCCTGAGCAAGAAGAGTGAAACTCCTTCTCCAAAAAAAAAAAAGTAAACTTTCATCCATTTTCAGTGCTCATGAAGGTATTTGGGTTTCACTGCTCATGAAGGTTCATACTTGGGTGAGTCTCCTCTGTCATTTATAGGCAGTGTATTCAAGCAGGAAAGAGGTTTTCTCTCTAAACAAAATAAATGTCTCCAAAAATCTTTATATATTGACTTCAGTAATGTTGAATAACATTTGGGCACACATCACTCACTCTCTCCACTCCAACCTGTGACCTTCAGGGACAATACTGCTGGATCATACATGAAATCCTAGAATTCCACAGATAAACTGCAAATTGGTACCCTAAATAAGGAAAAGTAGGAGTTTGCTTTGTGTCTTTTCCTTTGCAAAGTGCGTTTGTTGACCCTGCTACTTATCTTCATCTGCCTTATGTCAGCAGTAGAAAGAAATCCAGGAATGGTTCTTGAAACGTTGGTTTGGTTATACAGCTACGTGCACTGAAGATGTCAGATATTCAGATCAGTCATTAATTTTCATTAGTACCTTACTATGTGCTGCTGCTATGAAGACACAGGTTCTGCTCACATTAAGCTTGTTGGTTGATTTAAATTCTGGCTTTTTGGTATTGTTCTATATGTTTAAGTGCTTGGTCTGAAATGGGGAGATATTATTAATATCTATATTTATGCATGTCAATAACCAGCATTAAGTAAACACTGTGCATCAAGCTTTATTTTATGTGCCGTTTACTCTTCCCAGATCACACATCTGTTAAGTAATAGAGCTAGGATTATAACCAGGCCTGGTTCCCAAAGCCTAGCTCAACCACTACAGTTTACTAGGTTCCTAGATTAAGGCTGTGACTCTTTTTTGGTTGGAGTAGCAGGGAACAGCAGCCTTCCGAGCCATAGTAGGCTCAGAGACACTTAGACCTTTTTTGTGATTCTTTTGTGAGCCTTCTTGCTCATAGTTATTACAAAGCTTCTGCAGCTCATCCTGCAGTCTAGTTTCATAAAATTGCAAGCCTTCTTGAAGTTTACGACTTTCACTTCCATTCCATTCACTTCTAAATGCTATATGTCTGTATTGTTATGACTCACCCACTTACTAGAAAGTTTGCATGTTCTTCAGTCCAAAATAGTAGTTCAAAAATCTCATTTATATGTACTTACATGCCAGTAAGAGAAAAGAGCTGTTCTGTGAAGGTCTTAAAGGGTTGTTTTATCCTCTTCTGCTTTTTGTAGGGTAAGAAGTACCAATGGGATGCAGAAACTCAAGGATGGATTCTTGGTTCTTTTTTTTATGGCTACATCATCACACAGATTCCTGGAGGATATGTTGCCAGCAAAATAGGGGGGAAACTGCTGCTAGGATTTGGGATCCTTGGCACTGCTGTCCTCACCCTGTTCACTCCCATTGCTGCAGATTTAGGAGTTGGACCACTCATTGTACTCAGAGCACTAGAAGGGCTAGGAGAGGTAATTTTCTTTTCTCTCTTGTTTTACTTCTTACCCTATGTCTCCTCTTCTTCTTAAAGATTTCACTCTTTGTTATAAATATGAACCAAAAAATAACAGTGACTGATAACAGGGATTTGCTTTTTACAGAAAGGACTAACTAGAAAATTACCTGAATGATTGTTTCTGGTAAATGAGGTCTTGGGTAGGAGCACCCCAAAATTTGAACCTTTACTCAAAAACCAGAGAAAATGTTTTTCCAGAAAAGACTTCATAACTTGTACGTTAGAGAAGAAAATAAACCATTATTAAATTGTTAAGATAGGCTGGGCACAGTGGCTCACACCTGTAATTCTAGCATTTCGAGAGGCTGAGGTGGGCAGATCACTTGAGGTCAGGAGTTAGAGACCAGCCTGGCCAACATGGCAAAATCCCATCTCTACTAAAAGTACAAAAATTAGCCAGGCATGGCAGCACATACCTGTGATCCCAGCTGCTTGGAAGGCTGAGGTGGGAGAATTGCTTGAACCCGTGAGGCAAAGGTTGTAATGAGCCAAGATCACGCCACTGCACTCCAGCCTGGGCGACAGCAAGTCTCCATCTCAAAAGAAAAAAAGATGGTTAAGATTGGCCATCCTGGCCGGGCGTGGTGGCTCAAGCCTGTAATCCCAGCACTTTGGGAGGCCGAGGCGGGTGGATCACAAGGTCAAGAAATCAAGATCATCCTGGTCAACATGGTGAAACCCCATCTCTACTAAAAATACAAAAAAATCAGCTGAGTATGGTGGCGCATGCCTGTAATCCCAGCTACTCAGGAGGCTGAGGCAGGAGAATTGCCTGAACCAAGGAAGCTGAGGTTGCGGTGAGCCGAGATCGCGCCATTGCACTCCAGCCTGGGTAACAAGAGCGAAACTCCGTCTAAAATAAAAAAAAAAAAAAAAAAATTGGCCGTCCTTACCTCTTGTATTTTTTTAATCACAGTTTAACTCTGCTCTATCATTGATGCCCAGACCTGAAACACATTTTACACAATAGTAAACAGTGTAAACACGTTTTACACTGTTAAGTTGCATTGAATTTCTTCTTTATCACTTGTTCTTTTATTTTTTCTGGTCTTGTAACTTAGGGACAAATATTTTATGATTTTATGTAACTATCTCAATTTAGTTCTATGATTCTGCTGTTTTTAGAAGTATTAATTTTTGCCTCTATTTCCCTCCCCTTAAGAGTTTTATCATTTTTTAAAATTTTGATTCTTGTCTTTCTTTTCCTTCCCACTTTTCTTTTGTATTTCATCATGTATGCCTCCTTACTTAAATGATTTTCACTTTTCCTTTATAACTTTGAACTTGTACTTGTGAAACCCAGGCAAAGGTGTATTTTGTTCTCTTGCATTTCTTTAATTCAAGCAAGATAGTGGCCACTGGGTTTGGTGTAGAGCATGAAGATTATTTTAAGTAGCAGCATATCATGCTGTTGGAATGAACACTGGACTAGAGTCTGAATAACAGCTCCATTGTATCTAACAAGGAAACTTTAGGTAAGCTCTAATCTCTAGACCTCAGTTCCCTAATTTTTTTTTTTTTTTTTTTTTTTTTTTTTTTTGAGACAGAGTTTCACTCTTGTTACCCAGGCTGGAGTGCAATGGCCCGATCTCGGCTCACCGCAACCTCCGCCTCCTGGGTTCAGGCAATTCTCCTGCCTCAGCCTCCTGAGTAGCTGGGATTACAGGCACGTGCCACCATGCCCAGCTAATTTTTTTGTATTTTTTAGAGATGAGGTTTCACCATGTTGACCAGGATGGTCTCGATCTCTTGACCTTGTGATCCACCCGCCTCAGCCTCCCAAAGTGCTGGGATTACAGGCTTGAGCCACCGCGCCCGGCCTAGTTCCCTAATTTTTTAAATTGGGACTCAAATACCTTCCCTGTTTTCAACCACAGGATAAAAAATTCATATGTGATAAGGATTGCTAGAATACTTTGGATATTGCAAGGTACTATTCGAAGATTTTTCATTCATCTGAATGTTTTTGTTCTTATCAGTAGAGGTCTAATTAAGTAAACCCTTCCTGATCACAAAATTAAAATGACTCCTCTATTACCAGGTTCCTCTTCTTCTTGACAAAGTAAAATATACTTAAATCTACCATCTTTTCTCTGATCGTAGTATTGAATCTCTTTGCTGGATGTATCCCCATATTTTACTTCCTGTCTGTTTATCTGTTTATGTCACTAATTAAACATTATATCATATTATCATATTACTACTGTTATCTCAGGTGTCATTGTATTTCTTTTTTTTTTTTTTTGTTAAGACAGTCTCATTCTGTCGCCAGGCGGTAGTGCAGTGGGGCGATCTCATCTCACTGCAACCTCCACCTCCTGGGTTCAAGCGATTTTCCTGCCTCAGCTGGGATCAGTAGCTGGAATTACACTTGCCACCATGCCTGGCTAATTTTTCTATTTTTAGTAGAGACAGGGTTTCACCATGTTGGCCAGTCTCGTCTCGACCTCCTGACCTCAAGTGATCCACCTGCCTTGATCTCCCAAAGTGCTGGAATTACAGGCATGAGCCATCACTCCCAGCCGACGTTTTATTTTTGAATAGAATTTAAGTTGCGTTTATATTCGGATTCTTTCGTCCTTCTTCATCCCTCCAATATGTATGACAGGTACATTTCCTCATTTATTTTTATTTATTTATTTTTTTTTTTTGAGACGGAGTTTCGCTCTTGTTACCCAGGCTGGAGTGCAATGGCGCAATCTCGGCTCACCGCAACCTCCGCCTCCTGGGTTCAGGCAATTCTCCTGCCTCAGCCTCCGGAGTAGCTGGGATTGCAGGCACGCACCACCATGCCCAGCTAATTTTTTGCACCTTTAGTAGAGACGGGGTTTCACCATGTTGACCAGGATGGTCTCGATCTCTTGACCTCGTGATCCACCCGCCTCGGCCTCCCAAAGTGCTGGGATTACAGGCTTGAGCCACCGCGCCCGGCCATTTCCTCATTTATAAAGGACACTTAGATTACCATCTCTCATTCCTACCACCTAATTCACGATAAATATACCTACATTGTCCCTAGGTTTTATAATAAAGTTTTCTACAACATAATATCTGTGGGCATTTCCAAACATCTTCAGTTTTCTTCTAGAATGACTCATCCTGTGGATACTCCATGATATAGATTCTTATTGATTAGCAATTTACCTAAATCATCTTTGCCTTCCACTGGTATTACTTTTTTTTTTTAATTCCTTTGTTTTGTTTTTGAAAGAGTCAGCAGGAAGTACAAAGTATTAAAACATGTATTATTCTCTCCACGTAAAATGGCACTAGCTTTTATCTTTACAACAATTATGCAAGATTGGGAATATTATCTCTGTTTTACAGATAAAGAAATTGAAGTCCAAGGAGGTTAACTGATCTTCCTGAAGTGACACAGAGAGCGTCCAAAGAGAGCTGTTCTCTCCCACTCTCCTGTGCTCTCTCCTCATTTACCCAATCTCTACAAACCTCCTGCTTCCACATCCCATTACCACTCTGTATCAGTAATTGTCATTTACTAGGCTTGTTATCACAGTAAAAAAAGAAAAATGGCTGTAAACATGCCTGTTGATTGTCAACTCGAATTTTTTTTTCGGTATCCCAAAGTATTAGCTCAGTGTTTTTCAAAGTTATAAGTTAGTAATATCCCCTTTTCATTCAGATGATCAATAAAGTGAATGAGAAAAATTAACCTTGAGCATGATCCCTTTATGTCCTCACTCGGTACAATTCTTTTAGATTTATTGTAACCCTTTTCTTGTTATCTTCAAACCAGTTCCAAAATCCATGAATCTTTGGGCATTTTTTACTTTTTTTTTTTTAAGAGATGGGGTCTCACTATGTTGCCCAGGCTGATCTTGAACTCCTGGGCTCAAGCAATCCTTCTCCCTTGGCCTTCCAAAGTACTGGGATTATAGGCTTGAGCCACCATACCCAGCCCTCAAATTTTGAAAGTACTTCATTATAAGGTACTTTCACTTAACACTGTAAAAATGTCTCACTTCATGGAACCTAATTCAGGTTTGATGCTTATCCAGATAATGCTTTCCCAGCAAAATACTTAACTTACGTTAAAACATTAACACGGCTCAAGCCTGTAATCCCAGCACTTTGGGAGGCCGAGGCAGGTGGATCACGAGGTCAAGAGATCAAGACCATCCTGGTCAACATGGTGAAACCCCGTCTCTACTAAAAATACAAAAAAAAAAAAAAAAAAAAAAATTAGCTGGGCATGGTGGCACGTGCCTGTAATCCCAGCTACTCAGGAGGCTGAGGCAGGAGAATTGCCTGAACCCAGGAGGCGGAGGTTGCAGTGAGCCAAGATTGCACCATCGCACTCCAGCCTGGGTAACAAGAGTGAAACTCCATCTCAAAAAAAAAAAGAAAAAAAAATTAACAAAACTACCTTGTATTTCATCAGAAATATCATGTTCCCTTCTCTCAGGGTGTCACATTTCCAGCCATGCATGCCATGTGGTCTTCTTGGGCTCCCCCTCTTGAAAGAAGCAAGCTTCTTAGCATTTCGTATGCAGGTGAGATAACTATTAACGAATTTTGCTGTAATATGTTATGTGTATATCACCCTTGAGGGGAAAGTACCTGCATACCAGAACTGTACAATGTTGGATGGGATGCCCCTTTGGGGAGAAACTTAAGTTTCAGTAGTATAACTTTATTACCGATTTTTCTCTTTGGCTCAACAGCTTGTAGTAATGTGGCTTAATTGACTGTCCTTTTCCTCATCTACCATCATTATTTCAAAATGTGTTGCCTTTTCAGATACTGGTGTAGAGCTGCTATTTTTTTTTCTTTTCTGTTTACTTTTTTTGTTTTGTTTTGTTTTGTTTTTGATTTATTTTTGTTTGGAGATGCTATTTAAAAAAAAAAAAAAAAAAAAAGGCCAGAAGCTAGAAAATGGAATGTTTTTGTCCTTAAACTGTGATTTCTCTTTTGATTATCTAATGAATGTATCATGATTCTCAACCCCTCTCTTCATGCATCTTTTTTCGATGCATCTTTATTTGCCATCATTTTGATCTACAGGTGAGATAACATGAGATTTATATATGTGAATTATAATTTTACCAAATTGCATAAGAAATTCTAGCCTTTCTTTCATTGACTTAAATTTTTCCACCTGACTGCTTTTTAAAAACAGTAGTTGAAAAGACTTCTCTGTGGTTCTTTTAAGCTAAAATCTGAAGGATAAGATCAAACCAGTCAGGCAGGGAGAAGAGCACTTCAGCCAGTCAGAACAGCATGTATGAGGGCTCTCAGGCAAGAAATAACATAAGGGTTCAAAGAAATGGAAAACTACTGTGGGTGGCTAGAACTCAGTGAGTAAGGAGGATAATGGCATAAAATGAGATTAGAGAAAGAGATGAGCCGGGTTATATGAAGTCTTACAGGATACAGGAAATAATGTAGTTTTTTTTTTTTTAAGAGGCATGATTCAGTTGCATTTTAAGAAAATTATTCTTGCAACTATGTGGAGATTGACATGAGAAATCTGATGATAGATTCAAGAACAGGTACTATCTAAGGTTCCCCTTTACCTATTGAATAAATCCCAAACTCCTTGAATGAGGGGCAAGATTCTTTAGAGTCTTCACTACTTTGTTGCAGCTAGCCTTATATCTTTGGCAGGTAGTGCCTAGCATGGAGTAGGTACTCAGTAACCGTTTGACTGTTCAACCTATTTTTCCAGCCTTATCTATTTTTCTTTTCCTTTCCTTTACCCAGATGACGTTCCCAAGCCTACTGTCTGCTTTCCTACTTCCATTCCTTTGCTTGTCCTGTACACTAACTCTATATCTTTCTTCTAATCTTGTTTCTTTGGGGCCAAATTATAGCCTTTTTTTGTTTGTGTTTGTTTTTGTTTTTGAGACAGGGTCTCACTCCAGGCTGGAGTGCAGTGGCACAATCACAGCTCACTGGAGCCTTGACATCCCAGGCCCAAGGGATCCTCAGCCTCTGAAGTAGCTAAGTAGCTGGTACCACAGGCATGTGCCACCACCACACCTGGATAATTTTTGTATTTTTAGTAGAGGTAGGAGTTTGCCATATTGCCCAGGCTGGTCTCAAACTCCTAGACTCAAGTGATCCACCCACCTCAGCCTCCCAGAGTGCAGGGAATACAGCCATGAGCCACTGTGCCCAGCCTGTTACCCATCCTCTGTCAGCAGTAGACTTGCCTGTCCTATTTTTGTTTCTCTCTCTCCAAAGGTTATAACGTCTGATGTGTTGTTCTAGGAGCACAGCTTGGGACAGTAATTTCTCTTCCTCTTTCTGGAATAATTTGCTACTATATGAATTGGACTTATGTCTTCTACTTTTTTGGTAAGTTTAAAATTTTAACTAAATTATAATGTAACAAATTCAAAATATAATAGTAGCCTAATACTTTGTTAAAAATATACATTCCAAATCACCAAACCTCAAAGTTCTAAAACACTTACTGATAACCTGTTTTTCAAGTTAGTATGGTTAGCTTGACCTATCTGAGTTATGACCTGATGTTAGTTTTGGAATATTTCTCTGTAGAATTTCTAACGACTGTTGATCCTGGACACACATTTGCTGTCAGAAAAAATCACTGTCTTGGATATTTTCAATTTCTTCTCAAGCAAAGTAGGATGTTCTCACTTGGTAGTTTTAATGTTTTTTTTTTCTTTTTATCTAGTCCCAAGGCATTTTATTTCTCAATTTCATTGGCAGCATGATACACATTTTTAATAAATTAACTTTTCACATGGATGTGTCATGCAAGAAGTATATCTGCAATTAAAATTTAAAAATCAACTTACAAAAACAGACACCTTTGGAAATATGTAGATTGTGGAAATGTATCTTCAAAAAGGTTTGTCTGGTAGACTCTGATAGACAAAGTCATATAGTTGAAAGTTGTTTTCTTCTGGCCGAGCATGGTGGCTCATGCCTGTAATCCCAGCACTTTGGGAGGCCAAGGCGGGTTGATCACGAGGTCAGGAGTTCAAGACCAACCTGGCCAACATGGTGAAACCCCCTCTCTACTAAAAATACAAAAATTAGCCAGGCGCAGTGGCACGTGCTGTAGTCCCAGCTATTCAGGAGGCTGAGACAGTAGAGTTGCTTGAACCCAGGATAGTACGTTGCAGTGAGCCAAGACAGAGCCACTGCATTCCAGCCTGGGCAACAGAGTAAGACTCTGTCTCCAAAAAAAAAATTTTCTTCAAAATGTAACACAACTATAGCAATTATCCCATTAAAGAATTGATGGGCCAGGCGCGGTGGCTCAAGCCTGTAATCCCAGCACTTTGGGAGGCCGAGGCGGGTGGATCACGAGGTCAAGAGATCGAGACCATCCTGGTCAACATGGTGAAACCCCGTCTCTACTAAAAATACTAAAAATTAGCTGGGCATAGTGGCGTGTGCCTGTAATCCCAGCTACTCAGGAGGCTGAGGCAGGAGAATTGCCTGAACCCAGGAGGCGGAGGTTGCGGTGAGCCGAGAGCGCGCCATTGCACTCCAGCCTAGGCAACAAGAGCGAAACTCCGTCTCAAAGAATTGAGAGAGGGCCAGGCGCGGTGGCTCAAGCCTGTAATCCCAGCACTTTGGGAGGCCGAGGTGGGTGGATCACGAGGTCGAGAGATCGAGACCAACCTGGTCAACATGGTGAAACCCCGTCTCTACTAAAAATACAAAAAATTAGCTGGGCATGGTGGCGCATGCCTGTAATCTCAGCTACTCAGGAGGCTGAGGCAGGAGAATTGCCTGAACCCAGGAGGCGGAGGTTGCGGTGAGCCGAGATCGCGCCATTGCACTCCAGCCTGGGTAACAAGAGCGAAACTCCATCTCAAAAAAAAAAAAAGAATTGAGAGAAACTTGAATCCAAACTGAAGTTAGTTTTGTGTTGATTTTATAGTTACAGAATGTTTTCAAGACATGTAAAAACTGCTGTTGGTACATTCTAATTTTGTGTTTTTGTTTTGTCTTTTGTTACATTCTAATTTTATCTAACGATTGTTTTTCGATTTTAAGGTGCTGTTGGAATATTTTGGTTTCTTTTGTGGATCTGGTTAGTTAGTGACACACCACAAACACACAACAGAATTTCCCATTATGAAAAGGAATACATTCTTTCATCATTAAAAAATCAGGTATGGTCTTTGACACATTTTAAAAATAATACCAGCATGCTTTTTGCTTCAGAATTAAGATATCAATTTTTTAAAATCAATATTTCTATTGTGTATGCCCTAGACAAAGTAGAAAAGGCAAATGAAATAAATATTCAGAGTACTGTCTGGCTGGGTACAGTGGCTCACACCTGTAATCCTAGTACTTTCCGGAGGCCTAGGTGGGAGGATCATTGAGGCCAGCAGACTAGCCTACTCAACATAGTGAGACCCTGTCTCTACACAACATTTAAAATATTTTTAATTTTTTTTTTAAATAAATATGAACAAAGTATTGTTTGAAGAATGAAGTTCTTTCTTTTTTTATAGAAAGTATAGCTTTATAAGCTATAACAAATACTGTTTAAGTCATTTTAAACCTTTTAGAGTAGCGGTTATCAAATGAGTCTTGTTTATTTTTACCACTTGATTAGTAGAAAATAAAATGTGTTATTCATGAAAGGATTCTCATTCTGATCATTAGTTGTTAGAAAACCAACTAATGTGTTTATACAGTTGTGCATCCCAAATCTAAAAATTCTAAATCCAAAATACTCTGAAATCCAAAAGTTTTTGAGAACCCACATGATACTCAAAGGAAATGCTCATTGGAGCATTTCAGATTTTTAGATTTTAAGATTTAGGATGCTTGGCCAGGCGTGGTGGCTCATACCTATAATCCTAGCACTTTGGGAGGCCAAGGTGGGCAGTTCACCTGAGGTCAGGAGTTGAGACCAGCCAGCCAACACAACAAAACCCCATCTCTACTAAAAAATACAAAAATTAACCAGGCATGGTGGCACACATCTGTAGTCTCAGCTACTCAGGAGGCTGAGGCAGGAGAATTGCTTGAACCCAGGAGGTGGAGGTTGCAGTGAGCCCAGATCACATCACTGCACTTGCAGCCTGGGTGACTGAGTGAGACTCTGTCTCAAAAAAAAAAAAAAAAAAAGATTTCAGATGCTTATAGGAGTGAACCACCACACCCAGCCCAAGATTGACATTTTAAATATTTATATGTAGTATAGTCAGGCAGTAATTAAAAACTTAATCTGAGCTGGTCATGGTGGCTTACCTGTAATCTCAGAACTTCGAGAAGATAAGGCAGGCAGATTTCTTGAGCCCTGGAGTTCCAAGACCAGCCTGGACAACATACTAAGACCCCAACTCTAAAAAGAAGAAAAAATTTACTCTTTAACATTTAAGTTTTTTACTTTTCTATAAATGTCTCTACAGCAGCTGAACTTTAAGAAATATGACCTGTAATGATCTTTGCCAAAGATTGGCAAAAACTTAAAAACAGAAGAAATAAGCACTGTAATAAAGTTTTAACCAGGTGGAGAGCTCATATCCAAGGTTACTTGGGTCTGAGTATTCCCAGCAAAAAAAAAAAAAAAAATTAATACAAATAGTAAGTTTTAGCTGGGTGTGGAGGCACACCTGTAGTTTCAGCTCCTCAAGAAGCTGAGGCAAGGGGACTGCTTGAGTCCAGGAGGTCAAGGCTGCAGTGAACCATGATCAGCCATTGCATTCCAACCTGGGCAACAGAGCAAGATCGTCTCACAAAAAAAAAAAAAAAAAGTTACTTTGAAAGTTTAGTGTCCTACATGATGTTAATTGAGTTACCTACTTTTTCCTCTTAAGGAACAGGTTGAATTTAATGCATTATAAACAGATGTTGCCATGTAAAACCTGATGTTTTGCCATTTTCTTAACACTGATGGGTAACAGCTTGCTTCTTCCAATATTTCATTTTTATCATTATCTTCCAGAACTTATAAAACTTTTGAGTTTGTTTAAAATTTTTAAAAAGCTTTCCCGGCCAGGCACGGTGGCTAAGGCCTATAATCCCAGCACTTTGGGAGGCTGAGGTGGGTGGATCACCTGAGGTCGGGAGTTCAAAACCAGCCTAACCAACATGGAGAAACCCCATCTCTACTAAAAACACAAAATTAGCTGGGCGTGGTGGCGCATGCCTGTAATCCCAGTTACTCGAGAGGCTGAGGCAGGAGAATTGCTTGAACCCAGGAGGCAGAGGTTGCGGTGAGCCAAGATCAGGCCATTGCACTCCAGCCTGGGCAACAAAAGCAAAACTCCGTCTCAAAAAGAAAAAAAACCTTTCCCTTGGTCAGGCACGGTGGCTTGCACCTGTAATCCCAACACTTTGGGAGGCCAAGATGGGAGGACTGCTTGAGCCCAAGAGTTGAGACCAGCCTGGGCAACATGATAAGACCTCATCTCTATAAAAAATTTTAAAATCAGCCAGGCATGAGGTTATGCACCTGTAGTCTTAGCTACTCAGGAGGCTGAGGCAGGAAGATTGTGTGAGCTTGGGAGGCAAGACTATAGTAAGCTGTGTTTGTGCCACTGCACTCCAGCTTGGGAAACAGAGTGAGAACCTGTAAATTGGTCTTATTTTTGTCTTGCTCCAGCATGCTCATAGAGTGGCCTGGTTTTGGTTCAACAGAACCCCAGGGCCTAGATGTTAGAACCAGGACAATTTAGCTTACAGCAGCCCGGGACTGCTTCTTTCTTTTTCTTTTCTTTTCTTTTTTTTTTTTTTTTTCTGAGACAGTGTTTTGCTCTTTTTGCCCAGGCTGAAGTGCAATGGTGCAGTCTCAGCTCACTGCAATCTCTGCCTCCCAGATTCAAGTGATTCTCCTGCCTCAGCCTCCCGAGTAGCTAGGATCACAGGCACGTGCCACCAAACACAGCTAATTTTGTATTTTTATAGAGATGTGGTTTTACCATGTTGGCCAGGCTGGTGTCAAACTCCTGACCTCAGGTGATCCACCTGGCTCAGCCTCTCAAAGTGCGGGGATTACAGGCTCAAGCCCCCACACCAAGCCTGACTGCTGTTTTTCTTTCTCACTTTGCTGAGAGAAAGAGTGGTATCTTCCAGAGAGAGTATGACACCTTCCAGGAAGTGTGGCAGTTGGACATTGCGCTCATGGGTAAGGCAAAGGCAAAAAATAACAGGAAGAGGAAGCAGGTGGAAGTCAGGTCATGGAGGGTCCCGTGTGCCTCACTAAGGAGCTTAGCCTTTATCCTTTAGGCACTGGGATGCTATGTAGTATTTGTAAGCTTGAAGTGACAGAATCAGGTTTGCATCGTAGATAGCTTATGCTGGCAGTAATGTCAAAGGAGATCTGAGCTGGACAAGTGAGAGTTGCCGTTAGAATGTTTTCTCAGTTATTTAAGAAAAAGTCAGTACTAATAGGCAGAAATGTAATTTCATTCTTACAATAAGTGGATTTTATAAGGATGACAGCATATATAGTTCTAATTCTGATTCTGAAATTTCTACAAAAAAAGAAACAGGCTGGGTCCGGTGGCTCATACCTATAATCCCAGCACTTTGGGAGGCAAAGGCAGGAGGATCGCCTGAGGTCAGGAGCTTGAGACCAGCTAGGCCAACATGACAAAATCCCTTCTCTACTAAAAATACAAAAATTAGCTAGATGTGTTGTGCATGCCTGTAGTCCCAGCTACTGGGGAGGCTGAGGCAAGGTAATTGCTTAAACCCAAGGGACAGAGGCTGTGAAGAGCCAAGATCATGATACTGCACTCCATCCTGGGTGATAGAGCAAGACTCCATCTCAAAAAAAAAAAAAAAAAAAAGGGAGAGAGAGAGAAGGCCAGGCATAGTGGCTCATGCCTGTAATCCCAGCACTTCTGTAGGCCGAGGCAGGCAGATCACCTGAGGTCAAGACTTCAAGAGCAGTCTGGCCAACTTGGTGAAACCTTGTCTCTACTAAAAATATAAAAATTAGCCAGGCGTGGTGACAGCCACCTGTAAAACCAGCTACTCAGGAGGCTGAGGCAAGAGAATCGCTCGAACCCAAGAGGCAAAGGTTGCAGTGAGCCAAGATTCCGCACCATTGCACTCCAGCCTGTGTGACAGCAAAACTCTGTCTCAAAAAAAAAAAAGAGAGAAACAAAAATCTTTATTGCACCCTGCAGTTAAATTCAGAAGGCCAGCTCATAACTAGTGAGTGCTTTAAGACCATCAACTACTCTATTTTGAAGATCTCTTTTTTATGCATTATGGAAAGACATCACTGCTTCACTCACTGAAATGTCCTTTCCTGTATATCTGCTATTTTGTTGTTGTTGTTGTTGTTGTTGTTGTTTTCTTAATTCTGGGGCTATCTTGAGGTTTTCTTGTTTGTTTGGTTCTGGGGTTTGGGGAGGTTTGTTTGTGAGAAAAGGTCTGGCTCTGTTGCCTAGGCTGGAGTACAGTAGCGTGATCTTGGCTCACGGCAGCCTCCCTCCACCTCCCAGGCTCTAGGCATCCTCCCACCTCAGCCCACTGAGTAGCTGGGACCCCACAGATGTGTACCACAAAGCCTGGCTAATTTTTATATTTTTTGTGGAGACAGAATTTTGCCATGTTGCCCAGGCTGGTCTTGAACTTGTGAGCTCAAGTGATCCGCCCACCTCAGCCTCCCGAAGTGCTGGCATTACAGGAATGAGCCACCATGTCCAGCCTGAAGATAGCATGTTTTTTAACTGTTTCACCTCTCCTTTATGGCTTTTAGGAAGAGTACACAATTTTACAGCATTGCAAAGCAAATCAAATAGGGACCTTGATTTGAATATTTGTCTAATTAAGACAGAAATTAAGAGCATTTATTACATGTAACTTGGCTAAATCAGTTTGCTGTTACTTGCATTCGATAAGAAGTGTTTTTTTGTAAAATGGCATATTAGAAGATATTCAAGTATTTGTTCAGTGATCATACCCTCTCTATATTTCACACATTTCATGACAAATAATTTTTACAGTTTGTCCTTTTCTGTTTCGACTAATATGGAAAAAAAAAGTTGATTGAGCTATTATTAGAAATTTTTAAGACCATCTATCTTTAACTGCAAAATTAAACAGATCTACGTTTTCCTTCCTTCAAACCACCTCAGAAAAATAAGAGAAAACAATCCAAACATGATTTTTTTTTAAAAGTCCTTGTAAGTATTAAAACTCTTAGAGGAAACAAAAGGAAGAAGGAAAAACAAGAACAAGGAGGGAGGCCGGGCGCGGTGGCTCAAGCCTGTAATCCCAGCACCTTGGGAGGCTGAGGCGGGTGGATCACGAGGTCAAGAGATCGAGACCATCCTGGTCAACATGGTGAAACCCCGTCTCTACTAAAAATATGAAAAATTAGCTGGGCATGGTGGCGCGTGCCTGTAATCTCAGCTACTCAGGAGGTTGAGGCAGGAGAATTGCCTGAACCCAGGAGGCGGAAGTTGCAGGGAGCCGAGATCGTGCCATTGCACTCCAGCCTGGGTAACAAGAGCGAAACTCCGTCTCAAAAAAAAAAAACAAATATTGGCCAGGCACGGTGGCTCATGCCTATAATCCCAGCCACTTTGGGAGGCCGAGGCAGGTGGATCACCTGAGGTCAGGAGTCGGAGACCAGCCTGACCAATATAGTGAAACCTCATCTTTTAAAATATATATATATGTACAAATATTAGCTGGGCATGCTGGCAGTTGGCTGAACTCCCAGCTGCTCAGGAGGCTGAGGTAAGAGAATTGCTTGAACCCAGGAGGCGGAGGCTGCAGTGAGCCAAGATCGCGCCACTGCACTTCAGCCTACATGACAGAGCGAGACTCCATCTCAAAAAAAAAAAAAAGCTTTCGCTCCTCTCTTCCTTTCTCCACCATCGTGGTGTGTGCTTTACTCCGTTTCTTGCCATGTCTTCTCACAAGACTTTCAGGATTAAGCGGTTCCTGGCCAAGAAACAAAAGCAAAATCGTCCCATTCCCCAGTGGATTCGGATGAAAACTGGTAATAAAATCAGGTACAACTCCAAAAGGAGACACTGGAGAAGAACCAAGCTGGGTCTGTAAGAGATCACACATGCGATGGCACACATATTCATGCTGTCCCAAGGTCACAATCGAGTGTTACTAAACCAAGCTATCGGGAGACGTTTGAATAGATTCCTTTCTGTATCTGTTATAAAGGCATTAGTTAGTACAACCCACAGTGCTTCCATTATTCATGTTTTAAAAAAAAAAAAAAAAAGGTTTTGGTTGCCTGGGTTCAGTAATAAATATGTGAGACCTTTCACTTCTTAAAAAAAAAAGCTTTCATAATTTTTTTATTTTTTGCCAACAATTAGATGTGATGAAGCCATAGAGAGTATGTGTTTACACTGCTTGATTAGTGAGATAGTAGTGTGATAGAAACAATAGCAAGAGAATAATTTATAGTTCCAGAACATCAAAAAAAAGCTGTTTTGTACCTTCTTAAGTCCAACCTTAACTTGTATTGTCCAGTATGGTAGCCACTAGCCCCATGTGGCTATATTTTTAATTTAACTAATTTAATTAAATTTTTAAATAATTTAATTAAAAATTTAGTTCTGGGCCAGGTGCAGTGGCTCACACCTGTAATCTCAGCATTTTGGGAGGCCAAGGAGGGCAGATCATCTGATGTCAGGAGTTCAAGATCAGCCTGGCTAACATGGTGAAACCCCATCTCTACAAAAATACAAAAACTAGCTGGGTATGATGGTGGGTACCTGTAATCCCAGCTATTCAGGAGGCTGAGGCAGGAGAATTGCTTGAACCTGGGAGACAGAGATTGTAGTGAGCCGAGACCAGGCCACTGCACTCCAGCCTGGGCAACAGAGCAAGACTCAGAAAAAATTCTTCATTCACACTAGCCATATGACCAGGGTTTTGTTTCATTTCATTTTGTTTTCTTTCCTCAACCTGTTTGAATGACAAGGATTTAATAACAACATGTAACTATTAGTTACCCTGTGGACAGTGTGTATATGGAACATTTCCATCATCATGGAAAGTTCTGTTGGACAGCATCATCTTAAACTCTTGAAGGATTTTTTTTTTAATGTCTGCTAGATACTTGGATCGTTTCTCCTAGTAACATTTGAAAATTCATCTTTAACTTGAAAGCTTTTATAAATGAAGACTTTCCCCCCTGAAATAAAACTTGTAATGTGGAAATACTGTTAAGTTGATATTACCATTCATATTGGGAGAACAGAAAACTGTTATGTTGTACCTAGGTTACAAGTGAACACTAAGCTGTAATACATACATTTCACATTCTTCTTTCTAAGCCTTTAACCCTGTGGCCTTGTATGTGTTTGATAAGCAGCGTTAGCAGCCTGCCATGTGTCGGGCTTCTATGTTAGACATACAGCTGATCTTGTTTGGGTGATTGTCCAAAAACATCAGATTATCAAAAATTCAATTGCTATTAATAGGTTGTAAAAATATACCAGTGTGGCTAAAATTAAATATTTCATATTACAGGTTATATTTCCAAGAGGTAGGATATATTCTTCAGAATATATCCAGTTTTCAGACTTCAAATACATTTACACTTGTATCTTTCAGCATAAAAGAATGATTTCCCTTCTTTTGTAGATTTCAAAGCCATATAAAAAGAGCTATGTTCCAAATTCCTTCAAACTCTAAATCCTCTCTGTCCTGAGCTTTTTGGTTAAGAGGGATGAGGGCAGACTTTAAAAGCTAATCTCTACAGCAGTGGGTCCCAAAGTTGCTGCACATTGAAATCACCCAGGGATCTTCAAAAACTAGGGATGCATACCTCCCACCCACCCACAGCCTATTCAGTTGGTCTAGGGTGTGACCTTCATCTCAGAGTTTTTAAGGCCCCACTGGGTGATTCTTATATGCATCAAAGTTTGGGAACCCACTGCTCTACAGAATTACCAGTGAAGCCTTTTAAAACTTAGATTCCTTGGCCCTACACTCAGTTTTTTGCTTTACTTGTTTTTGTTTTGTTTATTCAATAGGTCAAGAGTAGAACTTAGGCCCCTATAATTTTTTTTTTTTTTTTTGGAGACGGAGTTTCACTCTTGTTACCCAGGCTGGAGTGCAATGGCGCGATCTCGGCTCACCGCAACCTCCGCCTCCTGGGTTCAGGCAATTCTCCTGCCTCAGCCTCCTGAGTAGCTGGGATTACAGGCACACGCCACCATGCCCAGCTAATTTTTTGTATTTTTAGTAGAGACGGGGTTTCACCATGTTGACCAGGATGGTCTCGATCTCTTGACCTCGTGATCCGCCCGCCTCGGCCTCCCAAAGTGCTGGGATTACAGGCTTGAGCCACCGCGCCCGGCCAGGCCCCTATAATTTTAAGGTGTCAGAGATGATTCTGAGGATAGCTGGAGTTGAGAACCACTGCTGTAAAAGAATAAATGTTATCTCTCTTTCTCTTTCCCTCTGTCTGTCTGTCTTTGATCATATTAAAAAACACAGCTGGTGCAATGGCTCATGCCTGTTTTCCCAGCACTTTGGGAGGCCAAGGTGGGCAGATCACCTGAGGTCAGGGGTTCTCAATCAGCTTGGCCAACACACTAAAACTCCGTTTCTACTAAAAACAAAAATCAGCCAGGTGTGGTGGTGGGCGCCTGTATTCCCAGCTACTTGGGAGGCTGAGGCAGGAGAATTTCTTGAACCTGTGAGGTGGAGGTCGCAGTGAGCAAAGATCGTGCCACATCACTCCATCCTGGACGACAGAGCGAGACTCCATCTCATAAATAAATAAATAAATTTAAAAATTTTTTTAATTAAAAGAACACGAGCATATCTAGCAAGGTGTCAAGTAAAAAGTCCATAGAAAAAAGGCCGAGGCCGGGCGCGGTGGCTCAAGCCTGTAATCCCAGCACTTTGGGAGGCCGAGGCGGGTGGATCACGAGGTCGAGAGATTGAGACCATCCTGGTCAACACAGTGAAACCCCGTCTCTACTAAAAATACAAAAAATAAGCTGGGCGTGGTGGCGCGTGCCTGTAATCCCAGCTACTTAGGAGGCTGAGGCAGGAGAATTGCCTGAGCCCAGGAGGCGGAGGTTGCGGTGAGCCGAGATCACGCCATTGCACTCCAGCCTGGGTAACAAGAGCGAAACTCCGTCTCAAAAAAAAAAAAAAAAAAAAAAGAAAAAAGGCCGAAAGAAGGTTTGGCAATACTGGTTCTTCCTTTTTTTTTTTAAATTTCTTTATTTTTCTTTTATCTGGTTCTTCCTCTTTTCAAAATAATGGTAACTGTGAACACTGAAGACAGAAATATAGATTGCTCTTGCTTTTGCGAAAAGCCACAGTCTTGGTGTAAAGGAAATATTAAAAAAAACCCACAGTTTTGGTGTACAGGAAATGTAAATATCTGATGCCCTAGATCAATGGTATCTAAGCTTTCTTGATCATGCAAGAATTAATAAACGGATGGGGGGCTCACAATCCGAATGTATGTATATTTATTCTCAAGTCATCTATATGTACTATGATGCTTATGTATATCATAACATATATACAGAAATAGACTTTTAAAGGATGGATAAATGAAATAAACAGTATATACATAAAGTTTACATCTTAATAGAAAAAAAAAAACCTTTGCTATAACTAAAAAATTACAAATACTTTGTTGTTTTTAATGTTTTGAGATGGAGTCTCACTCTCTCACCCAGGCTGGAGCACAGTGGCAAGATCTCGGCTCACTGCAACCTCCGTCCCTCAGGTTCAAGCAATTCTCATGCCTCCGCCTCTCAAGCAGCTGGGATTACTGGTGCATGCCACCACACCTGCATAATTCTCATATTTTTAGTAAAAACAGGGTTTCACCATGTTGCCCAGGTTAGTCTTGAACTCCTGGCCTCAAGTGATCCTCCTTCCTTAGCCTCCCAAAGTGCTGGGATTACAGGCATGAGCCACCACGCCCAGCCATAATCTGTTAATATAATAATAATGTTTAATGGGAGCAATGTGTTTGACTATGTTATAGTTAATGATCTGTCATTATTTTGCTTGGTGAAGTAGCTGACAAAGGACTCATCAAGAAAAGTGGCAGCTTAGCCAGTGGCAGTGGCTCATGCCTGTAATCCCAGCATTTTGGGAGGCCAAGGCAGGCAGATCACGTAGTCAGGAGATAGAGACCATCCTAGCTAACACAGTGAAACCCCGTCTCTACTAAAAATACACAAATTAGCTGGGCGAGATGGCACATGCCTGTAGTCCCAGATACTTGGGAGGCTAAAGTAGGAGAAACGCTTTAACCTGGGAGGCGGAGGTTGCAAGAAACCGGGATTGCACACTGCACTCCAGCCTGAAAAATAAAAAAGGCAAAAGAAAAGAAAAAAGTGGTAGCTCTACTATTTTCTTGGTGTTTGTTCTGTTTAAATATTATTAGAATTCTCTTCTTCCATTAGACTATTATCTATTAGATGAGTCTCTTCTAATAACTGTTGCTCTGCAGGAATCTTTTGAAAACACTGTCAATTTTGTGAGGTTTGATTTAATTAAAACTGTCTAATAAAATCTACAAATGCACTATATATGTGTGTGTATATAATTATATATATTTTTTTCTTTTTTTTAATCTTTGCATGTCCTTGAATTATAATTTTTTTTTTTTTTTTTGAGACAGAGTCTCACTCTGTTGCCCAGGACGGAGTGCAATGACACAATCTCAGCTCACCAAAACCTTCCCTTCCTGGGTTCAAGCGATTCTCCTGCCTCAGCCTCCCTAGTATATGGGATTACAGGCATGCGCCACAATGCCCTGCTAATTTTTTTTCATATTTTTAGTAGAGACGGGGTTTCACCATGTTGGCCAGGGTGGTCTCAAACTCTTGACCTCAAGTAATCTGCCCACTTCCCCTCCCAAAGTGCTGGGATTACAGGTGTGAGCCATCACCCCTGGCCCACAAATGCACTTTAAAAGGCACTTAAAATAAATGCACCTATGTTGGGGGCAGTGGCTCACACCTGCAATCCTAGCACTTTGGGAGGCAGAGGCGGGCAGATAACTTGAGGTCAGGAATTCAAAACCAGCCTGGCCAACATGGTGAAACGCCCTCTCTACTAAAATGCAAAAATTAGCCAGATGTGGTGGCACACCTGTAATCCCAGCTACTTGGGAGGCTGAGGCAGGAGAATCTCTTGAATCCAGGAGGCAGAGGTTGCAGTGAGCTGAGATCGCACCACTGCACTCAGCCTGGGCAACAGAGTGAGACTGTCTCAAAAAAAAAAAAAAAAAAAAAATAGGCCAGGTACAGTGGCACACGCCTATAATCCCAATACTTTGGGAGGCCAAGGTGGGCGGATCACCTGAGGTCAGGAGTTGGAGACCAGCCTAAACTAACACAGTGAAACCCTGTTTCTAATAAAAATACAAAAATTAGTCAGGCATGGTAGTGCATGCCCATAGTCGCAGCTACTCACGAGGCTAAGGCAGGAGAATACAGCTTGAACTCGGGAGGCAGAGGTTGCAGTGAGTGAGCTGAGTTCATGCCACTACACTCCAGCCTGGATGACACAGCAAGACTGTGTCTCAAGAAAATAATAATATAAAATAAATAAATATAAATAAATAAATGCACTTAAACTGTAATATGCTATAATACACTGAGGGCAAAGAAAACAAGTGAAGATGCCATTTTAACCCCTCTGAATTAGGGGACTCATACAATTTATAATTATCTGACACACTCCAGGGCCAACATATTTATTAAATATTAATAGAGTGTAGTTTCTTATTTTTAGAATAAAAATGAGCAAAAATAGAAATATGTCTTTTCTCATCCCCGAAGATCATTTTGCATACCCCCATGGTGCTTTAACCCTGCTTTAAAGACCACTGCTCCATATGACTGCAACAGAAACCTTCTATTGCCTAGTTCTTATAAATCATTTCAATTGAATTAAGATTGGATAATTAAATATGAATTCTAACAGGACCTTCCTATCTCTTTCCTTTACCCTTATGTCAGCCTCTGAATTATTTGACTATGACACTGTATTTTAGAAATCAAGAAATCAGGCTGGGTGCAGTGGCTCACACCTGTAATCCCAGCACTTTGAGAGGCTGAGGTGAGCAGATCACTGGAGGTCAGGCGTTCAAGACCAGCCTGACCACCATGGCAAAACCCCATCTCTACTAACAGTACAAAAATTAGCCAGGCATAGTGACACATGCCTGTAATCCCAGCTGCTTAGAAGTCTGAGGCAGGAGAATTATTTGAACCCAGGAGGCAGAGGTTGCAGTAAGCCGAGATTGTACCATTGCACTCCAGCCTGGGCAACAAGAGTGAAACTCTGTCTCAAAAAAAAAAAAAAAAAAGAAATCAATGCTGCAGGTAACTTCTGATATTCATAAGCAATGTTTAGGGCTGACATTATAGCTTTACCATTACCTTTTTACTTTATCATGCATTTTGCTATTTAATATTTCAAAGGAGTTGATTTAAAAATTAAAAATTTAGAGTTTACTAATTAAGATAATATTCTGTATGAATTCTGGATCGAGTTTTAGCTGATATGGTACAGCTCTATGTATTAACATAGGTGTAGCTTATCCTAATTCCTGTTTTTTTTTTCAGCTTTCTTCACAGAAGTCAGTGCCGTGGGTACCCATTTTAAAGTCACTGCCACTCTGGGCTATTGTAGTTGCACACTTTTCATACAACTGGACTTTTTATACTTTATTGACATTATTACCTACTTATATGAAGGAGATCCTAAGGTTTAATGTTCAAGAGGTAAGAAAAAATAATCATCTGCTTCTTATAATTTTCTTTTTCTTATATATAATTTTAAGACCATACACAGAATTTGTTTTCATCTATATAAAATTCAGTGATTTTTGCATCCTCCATTTTACTCTGCTGTCCTAAATTTTAGAGATGTCTCCTTTTGGCCTCCACAATTGTTACTTCTTTTCTCAGTGTGTGCTAACTCTTGATTAAGGTATCTTTTGCCAGTTATTCCCTTTAGCAATGAAGATCTTTTTTTTTTTTTTTTTTTTTTGAGACGGAGTTTCACTCTTGTTACCCAGGCTGGAGTGCAATGGCGCGATCTTGGCTCACCGCAACCTCCGCCTCCTGGGTTCAAGCAATTCTCCTGCCTCAGCCTCCCGAGTAGCTGGGATTACAGGAACGTGCCACCATGCCCAGCTAGTTTTTTGTATCTTTAGTAGAGACGGGGTTTCACCATGTTGACCAGGATGGTCTCAATCTCTCGACCTTGTGATCCACCCGCCTCGGCCTCCCAAAGTGCTGGGATTGCAGGCTTGAGCCACCGCGCCCGGCAGCAATGAAGATCTTAATAGTAGCTAGTAATATGCCAGGATATCAGTTGACAAATTCATATGGTACCAGTATTCACTTTTAAAAGGGATGGATTCATTGTGAGCAGCCTTATTTTTCCCAGGTTCTTTGTTAACAGAGCCTGATTATAATCTACCATGTTTCAACTATAAAGTGGAGCTAATTTTTAAAATAGAAAATAAATAATATGCTACCACAGTGATTAATTGCATTCAACTGCACATTACAAGATTAATTTGGTAATTATCATTTGGGGTAAAACTGAGACCCATAGGAAGATTAAGAATAGCAAATCCCGGTGTTCATGCCTATAATCCCAGCACTTTGGGAGGCTGAGACGGGTGGATCATGAGGTCAAGAGATTGAGACCATCCTGGTCAACATGGTGAAACCCCGTCTCTATTAAAAATACAAAAGTTAGGCCGGGCACGGTGGCTCAAGCTTGTAATCCCAGCACTTTGGGAGGCCGAGGCGGGTGGATCACGAGGTCGAGAGATCGAGACCATCCTGGTCAACATGGTGAAACCCCGTCTCTACTATAAATACAAAAAATTAGCTGGGCATGGTGACACGTGCCTGTAATCCCAGCTACTCAGGAGGCTGAGGCAGGAGAATTGCCTGAACCCAGGAGGCGGAGGTTGCGGTGAGCCGAGATTGCGCCATTGCACTCCAGCCTGGGTAACAAGAGCGAAACTCCGTCTCAAAAAAAAAAAAAAAATACAAAAATTAGCTGGGCATGGTGGCACATGCCTGTGGTCCCAACTACTCGGGAGGCTGAGGCGGGAGAATTGCTTGAACCAGGAGGTGGAGATTGCGGTGAGCCGAGATCATGCCATTGCACTCCAGCCTGGGTAACAAGAACGAAACTCTGTCTCAAAAAATAAAAAAAGACCGGGCACGGTGGCTCAAGCCTGTAATCTCAGCACTTTGGGAGGCCGAGGCGGGTGGATCACGAGGTGGAGAGATCGAGACCATCCTGGTCAACATGGTGAAACCCCGTCTCTACTAAAAACACAAAAAAGTAGCTGGGCATGGTGGCACTTGCCTGTAATCCCAGCTACTCAGGAGGCTGAGGCAGGAGAATTGCCTGAACCCAGGAGGCGGAGGTTGCGGTGAGCCGAGATCGCGCCATTGCACTCCAGCCTGGGTAACAAGAGCGAAACTCCGTCTCAAAAAAGAAAAAAAAAAAAAAAGAATAGAAAATCCAGCTGGGCACAGTGGCTCACACCTATAATCCCAGTACTTTCAGAGGCCAAGGTGGGCAGATCACTTGAGGTGAGGAGTTTGAGTCCAGCCTGGCCAAACATGGTGAAATTCTGTCTCTACTAAAAATACAAAAATTAGCCTGGCATGGTGGCAGGTGTTTGTAGTCCTCAATACTCAGGAGGCTGAGGCCAGAGAATCACTAGAACCCAGGAGGCAGAGGTTGCAGTGAGCCAAGACCAAGCCACTGCACTCCACACAGGGCAACAGAGTGAGACTGTCAAAAAAAAAAGAATGATTCATTAAGCTGTATGTTTGACTTAACATGGTTTTCTGCATCTGCATTTTATTTTATAGTAAAAAATATTTTAAAATAAATAAGTGAGAATGGAAGACGAAAATGTTTAGTAGGGAGAATCCATAGGTTAATAGGAAGGCTTGTCTTCTCCCACAACTGAAATCCCAAAGAAACAGTCAAGGTTACCCGAAGGAGACAGGACTAGGGCAAGCCTTATTTCCTCTGAGACAGACTCTTAGGGACTGCCTTGGACTGAATCCGATAATCCTTCTGAAAGCCAGACTTATTTACTGTAATTATATAAAAAATTAACAACATATTGCTATGCATTTCCTTTGTTTTCAAGTGGTGGCTGTTGGCTGTGATGAATGTGTATGTTTTATTTTTTCCTCCTGTATCTTCTTATTCCTTCCAGAATGGGCTTTTATCTTCATTGCCTTATTTGGGCTCTTGGTTGTGTATGATCCTGTCTGGTCAAGCTGCTGACAATTTAAGGGCAAAATGGAATTTTTCAACTTTATGTGTTCGCAGAATTTTTAGCCTTATAGGTAAGTGAAGCAAATCAGGTTTGGTTTTAGTTTACAGTTATTTACCATATTTATAGCTATTGGAGATAGGAAAACAAAATGTGTTTCCCACTTTTAGACACAAGTTAACACAATACTCACTTTTGGACAGTTAATACAATACTCAACACAGAACACTTCGCTCTGATCACCAAAACGTTTGTGGAGATTTCTCCCCAGACAGTCAGTCTGCAGCAGACACCAGCTGGGTGTCCTATCATTCAGTTCTGACACTGTCCAGCTGGCAGTAGCATCAGATCCTACAGGTTGAGGGCTCAGTTCCACAAGACCACCTCCGTACTTCGGATGCCAACACAAGTCCCAGCTTGTGATGCCTGTTTCTGACTGACCAGCTATAAATCAGGGTTCCCATGACTCTCTCATCAGGTTTAATCTGCTAGAGCATCTCACAGAACTCAGAGAAACACTTTATTTATGTTTACCTGCTTATTATAAAGGGTATTACAAAAGATATAGACAAACAGCCAGATGGAAAAGCTGCATAGGCCAGGGTATGTGGGACCAAATAGGGAGTTTTCATGCCCTCTCCTGGAACACCACCCTCCAGGAACCCCCACATCAAAAGTTCATCTCAACTCTGTCCTTTTTAGTTTTTATGGAGACTTCATTAAATGGCCAAGATTGATTAAATCATTGGCCATTGGTGACTGACTCACCCTTCAGCCCCTCTCACCTTTCTGGAGGTTGGGGGTGGTGCCGGACCGCTAATCCAGCCACCATCCTGAAGCTGTATGGGGACCCCCAGCCACCAGTTGTCTCATTAGCATACAAAAGATACTATTACCACTCCAGAGATTCCAAAAGTTTTAGGAGCTGCGTGCCAAAAACCAGGGCAGAGACCAAATGTATGAATGTATATTTACTTTTTAAAAAAAAATCTTTTAATAGAAATGAGGTCTTGCCATATTGCCCAATCTGGTCTTGAATTCCTGGCCTCAAATGATCTTCCTGCCTCAGCATCTCAAAATGTTGGGATTACAGACATGAGCCACCACATGGGCCATATTTCTTTCTTTCTTTCTTTTTTTTTTTTTTTTTTTTTTTTTTTTTTTTTTTTTTTTTGAGACAGGGGCTAACTCTTAGCCCAGGCTGGAAATCTTGGCTCACTGCAGCCTCAACCTTCTCAGCTTCAGGTGATCCTCCCACCTCAGCCTCCTGAGTAGCTAGGACTACAGGCATGTACCACCATGCCCAGCTAATTTTTGTATTTGTATTAAAGTCAGGGTTTCACCACATTGTCCAGGCTGGTCTTTAACTCCTGAACTCAAGCGATCTGCCTGTCTTGGCCTCCCAAAGTACTGGGAATACAGGTGTGAGCCACCACACCCAGCCCCAGCCATTTTTTTTTTTAATGGGACAGGGTCTCACTTTATTGCCCACATTGACCTTGAACTCCTGACCTCAAGCAATTCTGCTGCTACAGCCTCCCAAAGTGCTAGGATTACAGGTGTGAGCCACCACACCCAACTCCCCACCATATTTTTTTAAATCACAATATCACAGCAGTTTAAGACAAAATAAAAACGTTATGAGTCATTCATTTTGTTCATATAACAAAACCCTTTGATACATTTAAGTGCATTTCTTCACATGTGTTTCTTTTTGAATCATACATTTTGAGGTTTAAGATTCATAATATTCACCTGGCACAGTGGCTCACACATGTAATTTTAGCACTTTGGGAGGCCGAGGTGGGCAGATCACAAGGTCGGGAGTTTGAGACCAGCCTAAACAACATGATGAAACCCCATCTTTACTAAAAATGCAAAAATGAGCCTGGCATGATGGCGAGTGCCATTGTAGCTCACCGTAACCTTGAACTTCTGTGCTTAAGCAGTCCTCCCACCTCAGCCTTCTGAGCAACCAGGACTACAGGTGTGCACCACCATGCCTGGCGAATTTTGTTTTTAATATTTCATAAAGACAGGGTCTTGCTGTGTTGCCCAGGATGGCCTCAAACTTCTGGCCTCAAGTGATTCTCCCACCTCAGCCTCCCAAAGTGCTGGGATCACAGGTGTGAGCTGCCACACCTGGCCAAGATGGAGTATTTCTCTAACCTCATCCAACAGAGTTTATTATTTAGTTTATCTTCTTTGGTTATATGTATTTTAAATCACATTCTGTGTCAGCTATGGCTTCTCTCTAGAAACATATTTTTAAGTTGTTATCTTCTCTAACACCATGGAATTTTAGCTGAGTTTTGGTCACATGAAAATTTAATAACATTGCATAATAAGATTTTCCTTTTAATCGTATATTAGTTGTATTATGCCCATGTTTTCCAGCAGGTTTTTTTTTTTTTTTTTTTTTTTTTTTCACAAAATTTGTTAGTCTTCTAGGCAGTATACTGTTTCTACAGTAGGTGGCAGCAATTTCAAATTTCAGATTTATACCATATTGAGGGAGAGCAAATATTAATGCTGGGGCTTTTTTCCCTTTTAAAACTTTGCAACTCCAGGAATGATTGGACCTGCCGTATTCTTGGTAGCTGCTGGCTTCATTGGCTGTGATTATTCTTTAGCCGTTGCTTTCCTAACTATATCAACAACACTGGGAGGCTTTTGCTCGTCTGGATTTAGCATCAACCATCTGGATATTGCTCCTTCGTGAGTACTAACTAATATAAAGATTTGCTGTGATTTACTTTATTATTTTAAAAAATTATAAGTAACGTAAAATTGGTTCAGCAGCCATCCAGCCAGAAGAAGGTGGTAGGCCACCCACTCCATTTAATGAATCTGAAAAGTAGCGCCGGACACGGTGGTTCACACCTGTAATCCCAGCACTCTGGGCGAGTGGATCACCTGAGGTCAGGAGTTTGAAACCAGCCTGACCAATTTGGTGAAACCCTGTCTTTAAAAATAAAGAAAGAAAGAAAAGTAGCTTAAGATTTATCAGGTTCCTGAAGTCTTGTCAGAATCTCTGGAATCTGATGAGGGCCTCCCACCCTGCTCTCTTGAACTGTCAGTGAAAGAAAATTGGATCATCAGATGAAAATTAGAGCTACTGTCACTGGGTACAATGGCTCACGCCTGTAATCCCAGCACTTTGGGAGACTAAGGAGGGCAGATCACCTGAGGTCAGGAGTTCAAGACAAGCCTGGCCAACATGATGAAACCCTTTCTCTACTAAAAATACAAAATTAGCCAGGCGGGGTGGCAGGCGACTGTAATCCCAGCTACTAGGGAGGATGAGACAGGAGAATCACTTGAACTTGGGAGGTGGAAGTTACAGTGAGCCATTGCACTCCAGCCTGGGCAACAAGAGTGAAAGTCAGTCTCAAAAAAAAAAATTAGAGCTATTGTCAAGAGATGAAAATAGGTACTGAAGAAAAAAAATTAAAAAACAAATATCCATGTTATCTACCTTATAAGATCATTGTGAGGATTAAATAGAGCACACACACAACCCTTTGCTCATAATGCAATAAATGTATTTGCATATAATGCAGTCAATGTAATTATTACTTTCTGGCTAACTTTGAGTCAGGTGTGGTGACCAGGGTCACAGATCAATCCAAGTAAAATATTAAAGTGATGATTGGTGTGCTTTCAGAAAAGAAAATGCTGACCACTAAAGAGCCACCACTGGGTCACTAGAGCCAAAATGACAAAACAGTCTAATTTCTCAACATCATTTTTAGCCTGATACAATAAAGAAAATATAGATTTGATACGGATAGTAAGGACTTCAGCCAGGTCTCCTATGATAGATACCCTTTGGACAAGGTAGAGAAACATGAATTGGATGTACAATTAGGTAAATTTATCACTACCAAAGTTCAGTATAATAGCATGCTGATTCATGGATAGAGTCATTTGAGAAACACTGTGCCAAGCGCCTGTAATCCCAGCTACTCAGGAGGCCGAGGCAAGAGAATTGCTTGAACCTGGGATGCGAAGGTTGCAGTAAGCCGAGATCACACCACTGCACTCCAGCCTGGGCAGCAAAGTGAGACTTGTCTCAAATAAATAAATAAATAAATAAATAAATAAATAAACATAATCCCACCTCATGGGATTGGTTTTATGATTCAAATGATATAATATGATATATATAAAACCCTTATAAGCATGTCTAAGGTTTTCCAATAAATAGTAAATAGATACAAGGTTTTCCAATTAATAATATTCCTATTAACATATAAATATGAACTTGGATTTTCTAGGCCTTCACTTCTATAGACTGAAATAGAGATTTCATTTTATTTATTTATTATTTTTTGAGACAGGGTCTCACCCTGTCACCCAGGCTGGAGTGCAGTGGCAAGATCACCACTCACTGTAGTCTCAAGCAATCCTCCTGCAGTCCTCTGGCCTCAGCCTCCTGAGTGGTAGGTCTACAGCATGAGCTACCACACCCAGCTAATTTTTTTGGTGTTTTTTAAAATTTTTTGTAGAGACAGGGTTTCACCATGTTGCCCAGGCTGGTCTCAAACTCCTGGGCTCAAGCAATTCTCCCACCTCAGCCTCCCAAAATGCTGGGATCATAGGCATGAGCCATGGCGCCTGGCCCCAAAATAGAGATTTTCTTTTCTTTTTTTTTTTTTTGAGACAGAGTTTTGTTCTTGTTTGCCAGGCTGGAGTACAATGGCAGGGTCTCAGCTCACTGCAGCCTCCACCTCCTGGGTTCAAGCGATTCTCCTGCCTCAGACTCCTCAGTAGCTGGGGCTAGAGGCGTGTGCCACTATGCCTGGCTAACTTTTTTATATTTTTAGTAGGGATGGGGTTTCACCATGTTGGTCAGGCTGGTCTCGAACTCCTGACCTCAGATAATCCACGCGCCTCGGCCTCCCAAAGTGCTGGGATTACAGGCATGAGCCACTGTGCCCAGCCTCAAAATAGAGATTTTTTATGGTAATTTTGTTGCCTAGATCATAGGAATTAGATAGATTTTCAGCTATTAATTCCAATAGTACTCTAATAGCACGGAATCCAGACTGAGTCCATGCAACTTGTTTTATTCCAAGCAGTCATCAATCTTTCATGGCCAAGTGAAATATAAGTACTTGAATGAATTTCTTGGTGCTGACATTTAGAATTTCACGGCATTCGTCTGCACTTAATATCTGTCACTGGAAATGCTGGCAGCATTGCAGTTGGTTCCTCTTACTGCCAAGGTGTTAATGGTTTAAAAAGAAAAAAAGGCAGGCTCTGCCAAGCTTGGTTAATTTAAGATACACTCCCTAAAGGGGATAAGCCAAAAAGATCCGTGCCTCGTGGTTTTGTTATGGTGTTGTGTATGCAAGAGTTTTGAACATAAAAATTTGTGATCTTTATATATAACTGAATTTGTTAAGCAGAATTTTTTATTTAGACACCTTTCCATCCAAAATGGGGAGGAGTTTCAGATAAGTAGTCTACAACTGAGGATCCAAAATTCTAATAGAAATTGGGTTATTCCACATTAAGACAGCATGAATAATAAAATATCAAGCTTCTTTAGTTTTGACTGAAATTGTATTTTATAATACTACTAATTATCTCACAAAACATTTAAAGCTCTAATTGGACTTTATATATGTCTAAGTGATTTTTATGAAAAAGTAATAAATGCCATTTAGTTGCTTAACTAAGTTTTTTTTTTTAACTGAACTCCTCTACCACCTTTAAGGTTTTGTACCAAAAATATTTTTTTTTTTTTCGAGACGGAGTTTTGCTCTTCTTACCCAGGCTGGAGTGCAATGGCGCGATCTCGGCTCACCGCAACCTCCGCCTCCTGGGTTCAAGCAATTCTCCTGCCTCAGCCTCCTGAGTAACTGGGATTACAGGCACACACCACCATGCCCAGCTAATTTTTTGTATTTTTAGTAGAGACGGGGTTTCACCATGTTGACCAGGATGGTCTCGATCTCTCGACCTCATGATCCACCCGCCTCGGCCTCCCAAAGTGCTGGGATTACAGGCTTGAGCCACCGCGCCCGGCCTCAAAAATATTAAATCTAAATCTAATGAACCCCCTAGGATCTAGAGGCTAGCCACTATCAGTGTACAGGTAATATAGGAAGTATAAGATTATGTGAAATGATACCTGAGAGATATCATCTTCAAAGTCCAGAATTCATGACTATATATAGGACAAACATCCAAGTAAAAAATACAGCAGTTTTAGGCCAGGCACAGTGGCTCATGCCTGTAATCCCAGCACTTTGGGAGGCCGAGGCAGGCAGATCACCTGAGGTCAGGAGTTCAAGACCAGCCTGACCAACATGGTAAAACCCCGTCTCTACTAAAAATACAAAATTAGCCAGGTATGATGGCACATGCTTGTGATCCAAGCTGCTAGGGAGGCTGAGGCAGGAGAATCACTTGAACCCAGGAGATGGAGGTTGCAGTGAGCCAAGATCACACCATTGCACTCCAGCCTGGGCAACAACAGTGAAACTACATCTCAAAAAAAAAAAAAAAAGAGAGAGAGAGAGAGAGAGACAGCAATTTTAAAAATAAATTATTAGGCCAAGTGCGGAGGCTCACACCTGTAATCCCAGCACTTGGGGAGGCCGAGTCAGGTGGATCACCTGAGGTCAGGAGTTCGAGACAAGCCTGACCAACATGGTGAAACCCCATCTCTATTAAAAAATATATATCTACAAAAATTTAGCTGGGCGAGGTGGCAGGCACCTGCAATCCAGCTACTTGGGAGGCTGAGACAGGAGAACTGCTTGAACTCGGGAGGTGGAGGTTGCAGTGAGGCAAGATTGTGCCACTGCACTCTGCCTGGGCAACAGAGCGAGACTCTATCTCAATCAATCAATCAATGGCTGGGCACAGTGGCACACACCTGCAATCCAAGCACTATGGGAGGCCAAGATGGGCAGATCACTTGAGATCAGGAGTTCAAGTCCAGACTGGCCAACATGGTGAAACCTCGTCTCGACTACAATTACAAAAATTAGCTGGGTGTGGTGGCGGGTACCTGTAGTCGCAGCTACTTGGGAGGCTGAGGCAGGAGAATCGCTTGAACTCGGAGGCAGAGGTTGCAGTGAGCCAAGATCATGCCACTGCACTCCAGCCTTGGTGACACAGTGAGACTCTGTCTCAAAAAAAAAAAAAAAATTATTAATACATACAACAGTTTGGAATAATAGTACCCCTAGCATGTAATCCAAAATGTTACATTCTGTATTATTCTGTTCATATAAAATTCCTGATCAGGAATTGTCACTCTTTGGAGCAGTGAGTTAGAGGAGTTCTAGTCTGTATGGAAAAATCTCCAGTGGTCTGTGCAGTCAGAGCCCCATGGTTCAGTGCATAAGGCCTAGATTAGTGTGAGTCACATGACACCTCTCTTTAGTCAGCATATATTGAATGAGCACAGGTGTTTTACTGGGCACTGAATATAATGAAGGGAAATAAAACATGCTTCTTCAATGAGATTATGGAGTCAGAATTAGCGAACTTGAATTAGGGGACTTATATCTTAAAACACATAATACCAGCTTTAAGGACAATAAAGATTCTGAGAGGACAGCTTCAGTATGAACTGATCAAGACAGACAGCTTCAAGGAAGAAGCACCAAACAAGTGGTTAGGATGGAAGGTGAGTGGAGTTCAGGCAGCAGGTATAGTGTTAGTAAAGATAAGTAGCAGGAACGAACATGACAGATGTGAGCAGCTGGAATGAGAGCTGGCTGGATCTGAAGGAGTGATTGTACAGTGCTAGGAAATAAGGCTGTGTAGAAGGACCAAGGCCAGGCCACTGCAAATCAGGCAGAAGGTTGCAGTCTTCTGAAGGTAAGAGTTAAACCCTCCTAGTAGGTTTTTTGGTAGAGAGGGGTGACCTGACTATTCAGATGAAGGCTTATACAGTTTGAGAGGTAGTTCGACCACATGGAAAATGTCCTTCAAAATGTGTATACCAGTAGCTTCTATTTCTTGATCAGATGCTAGTGATGTGGTTGTGTTCACTTTGTGAAAATTCAGCAAGCTGTACACTGATGGTTTGTACACTTTTCCATGTGTATTTTACACTCAAATGAATTGTTTTAGAATACCTGATAGAGTGTGAGGGAGCTCACGGTTGACATGTTATATGTATACATCTGTGAACCAATGGATAATAAGGGAAATAATAGGCCAGGCATGGTGGCTCATACCTGTAATCCCAGCACTTTGGGAGGCTGAGGTGGGCAGATCACCTGAGGCCAGGAGTTCAAGACCAGCCTGGCCAACATGGCAAAACACCATCTCTACTAAATACAAAAAATTAGCTGGGCATGGTGGTGGGTGCCTGTAATCCCAGCTACTCAGGAGGCTGAGGAAGGGAAAATTGCTTGAACCTGAAAGGTGGAGGCTGCAGTAAGTCAAGATCATGCCCTTGCACTCCAGCCTGGGCAATAGAGAGAGACTCCATCTCAAAAAAAAAATAAAATAAAATAAAAATGCATCACTAACTTGCCCAAGATCACATAGATTGTTAATGGTGGAGCTGAGTCGGGAATCTCAATTTCCTGATAATCAGTTTAATATGACTTTTTTATAGAAAATGATAGGTATTTCATTCCTTTTTATGATGGTACTTACTCAAGATCTTGGCTAAGGTAACATTTCTTATTTCTTATTCTACATACATTCCTTTTTTTTTTTTTTTTTTTTTTTTTTTTTTTTGAGACGGAGTTTCGCTCTTGTTGCCCAGGCTGGAGTGCAATGGCGCGATCTCGGCTCACCGCAACCTCCGCCTCCTGGGCTCAGGCAATTTTCCTGCCTCAGCCTCCTAAGTAGCTGGGATTACAGGCACGAGCCACCACGCCCAGCTAGTTTTTTGTATTTTTAGTAGAGACGGGGTTTCACCATGTTGACCAGGATGGTCTCGATCTCTTGACCTCGTGATCCACCCGCCTCGGCCTCCCAAAGTGCTGGGATTACAGGCTTGAGCCACCGCGCCCGGCGCATTCCTTATATAGTAAAGAAATCAATAGGTCATTAGTATTTCCCAAATACAGGCAAAAATTCTGTAAAGATTTGCATGTAGACATAGAGAGAACTATCCCGTTCCCTATGATTCACTTAAAATAAAACATTGCATTTGAGAAACTTTTTCCAAACTTATTTAAAATGCCCTTTTTATTCATACCCATACACACAATGTAGACCCAACTTGTCTTCTTTTAGGACAGCACGCAGTAATTTACCTATAAGCACATGTGTAATTAATGGAACAAGTAAATTGTATGTTTGATATGATCTCATGCCTATAATAATATACTAAAAATATATACAGATAGAAAAAATAATTAGGATATTTATGAAAATGTTAATGTCAATTATCTCTATAAGGAAGAATTAAAGGTAATTTTATTTCCTTATTGTTTTTTATTAATTTTCAAAAATCAATTACAATTGAATTTTCAAATCAGGAAAGAAATTCTTTAACTTAAATAACTTCAGGTTAGACATGTCAAAATGTCTGTATGAAAATGAGATCTCAGAACTTTCTCCTACATCATTATAAAAGGGATTATTTCATTGGCTGTGTTCCTCTATGTAATGTTAAAATGCTACTTAACTATTGAAATGCAGGTTTTTCACCAGCTGAATATGAAATCCCATTTCAACAAGACATTTTATGTAGACATAAAATTTCACAGGAACACAACCTGAGAGTAGAATAGCTATCTACTGAAAGAAGCGGCCAGATGTGGTGGCTCACACTTGTAATCCTGGCACTTTGGGAGGCTGAAGCAGGCAGATCACTTGAGGTCAGGAGCTCAAGACCAGCCTGGCCAGCATGGTGAAACCCCAGTTCTACTAAAAATACAAAATTAGCTGGGCATGGTGGTGCATGCCTGTAGTCCCAGCTACTTGGGAAGCTAAGGCACACTTGAACCCAGGAGGCAGAGGCTGCAGTGAGCCAAGAACATGCCACTGCACTCCAGCGTGGGTGACAGAGTGAGACTCTGTCTCAAAGAAAAAAGAAAGAAGCTGTTTAAATGTATAACACAATAATAAACTTCTATGAAAATGTTTCTACAGGTATGCTGGTATCCTCCTGGGCATCACAAATACATTTGCCACTATTCCAGGAATGGTTGGGCCTGTCATTGCTAAAAGTCTGACCCCTGAGGTAAGTAGACAATTTACCCGTAAACTGGAAGGGTTTTGGAACTGCACATCTGAGTCAAAGCTCAGTATATTTTCATAAAGAGTAAAATTCTAAATGTTTTTATGAAATTCTTTATAGCAACAAAAAAATAAATGCCTTACTAGATAAGAAAGTGTATTTTCGAAGAATACTTTTTAGATTTTAGACAAAACAGCAGAACTAAGTCAAAAATGAAGATCTTGCAGCTGAAACCACAGCAGTAAAGTTGTGATATTATACCAGACAAGTAATTTTTGTCTTTGATTTGAACAAATAAAAATTGGCAATGTAAAATTATTTAAAAAGGGAGCCCATGAAGGTGAGGTATCAGGAAATCATGTGAGAATTAATGAGGAAAAGTTGAAATAACCAAGAATGTTTAGAGGACCAGAAAACTCGGGAAGACATAAAAGGTGTCTTCATATATTTGAAGGGCTTCTAAATGTTAAGATGGAGACTTATTCTCAGCAGATCCACAAAGACAGATTGAGAGAAGTAATGAGGAGACATTAGGAAGATGCTTTGTTCAAAGCTGTTCCTTTATGGAATGAGCCACCTTAATGGTTAGTAAGCCCTGAAACAATCAAACGCTTATTCAACAGGCATTTCTTAGATGCTTATTAATATGCCAAATATATGGCCAGAAGAGGTGGCTCATGCCTGTAATCCCAGCATTTTCGGAGGCTGAGGCGGGCAGATCACCTAAGGTCAGGAGTTTAAACCAGCTTGGCTAACATGGTGAAACCCCATTTCTACTAAAAATATAAAAAATTAGCCAGGCGTGGTGGTGCGTGCCTATAATCCCAGCTACTCAGGAGGCTGAGGCAGGAGAATCGCTTGAACTTGGGAGGTGGAGGTTGCAGTGAGCCGAGATCACGCCATAGCACTCCAACCTGGGCAACAAGAGCGAAACTCCGGCTCAAAAAATAAATAAATAACATGCTAGATACTGAGGATTCAAAAACAAAACAGCAAGCTGCTTCTACACTTAAGAAACTTACCATTTGGAAATTTTCTGTAATCAAATCGTTAAAGTACAGCGTGACACGTGCTGCGGGAAAAATGTGTGCAGGGAGTGCTGTAATTAAGAGAGGAGGGAATAGCCTCTCTGTTCCTGGGGAAGGAGCCCACAAGAGTGGCCAGGTGGTGTGGTAGGCTGGACACACCAGCCTGTGCAAGAGCACCAAGCCCTTATGGGGAGGGTGGGCCCAGGGTTGGTAGCCCTGAAACTGAAAGGCAACACAGGCCAGATCTGTAAGCAGAGCATTTTGTTTTCGTTTTTGTTTTTTGGCATTAAGTCTTGCTGTACCGCCCAGGCTGGAGTGCAGGGGCACCATCTCACTACAGCCTCCACCTCCTGGGTTCATGCAATTCTCCTGCCTCAGCCTTCCATGCACAGCATATTTAAAAGGTTGCCTTCGCTATGTAAGAAATAAAAATAAATGGCCAGGCACAGTGGCTTACGCCTGTAACCTCAGCACTTTGGGAGCTGAGGTGGGCAGATCACCTGAGGTCAGGAGTTGAAGACCAGCCTGGCCAACATAGTGAAACTCCATTGGGTCTCTACTAAAAATACAAAAAATTAGCTGGGCATGGTGACTTGAACCTATAATCCCAGCTACTTGGAAGGCTGAGGCAAGAGAATCGCTTGAACGTAAGAGGTGGAGGTTTCAGTGAGCCAAGATCATGCCATTGTACTCCAGCCTGGGCGACAAGAGTGAAGCTCTGTCTCAAATAAATAAATAAATAAATAAATAAAAATAAATGACCTCAAAGGCCCCTTTCAACTTTTATTTTCTACCATTCAAAAAATGGTATGTATATAAGATATTCTTTAAGAGGCTAACTCAAGCCTCTAAAAGAGGTAATTTTCTGTTTTGTCTCTGTGATCAAATTAACACTATGTATAATCCTTAAAATTTCAGGACATACTTACAGACTTTACCAAATATACTGATTTCATACATATATGTGTTCCCACAGATAGTGTTCCTGTTTCTTCTCCACATCCACCATTTCTAATTCCTTAAATGACGTAGTATCTCCATGTTACTATTTTCTCTCACTTAATAAAAAGAAATGTTGTAGAAATGTTTTTTCTAAACTTGTTTCTCAATATAGACGCATCCAAAATGTTTAACCTTGTCCTTATGGAGCAGGGTGGCAACACCAGAACCTAAATCAGCATACTACCATGGGTTGATCTCACTTACTAATCATGCCAGCACTTCTGCTAGGGAAATATGGATTCCTGAAGCAAAGTCTTGTATGTTTATAAGGAGGAACTGAGCTCGATTTGGGATATGTTATAGCATTTGTTTAATGCTATCAAAAGGATATCACTGTTTTAGCTGGGTGTGGTTCGAACCTGTAGTCCCAGCTACTTAGGAGGCTGAGGCAGGAGGATGCATAAGCCCAGGGGTTTGAAGCTGCAGTGAGCTATGATCACATCTCTGCACTCTAGCCTGGGTGACAGCGGGAGACCCTGTCTTAAAAAAATAAATAAAACTTACTTTATATTATTTATTAATTTTCGAGAAGGAGATACACTCTGTTGCCCAGGCTAGAGTACAGTGGTGCAGTCTCAGCTCCACTTCCCAAGTTCAAGCAATTCTCCTGCCTCAGCCTCTCGAGCAGCTGGGACGATAGGCACCCACCACCACACCAGGCTAATTTTTGTTTTTGTTTTGAGATGGAGTCTCACTCTGTTGTGCAGGCTGGAATGCAGTGGCACGATCTCGGCTCACTGTAACCTTCGCCTCCTGGGTTCAAATGATTCTCCTGGCTTAGCCTCCCACATACCTAAAAATATAAAAATTACTGTGCCACCATACCCGGCTAATTTTTGTATTTTTAGTAGAAACGGGGTTTCACCATATTGGCCAGGCTGGTCTCAAACTCCTGACCTCAAATGATCCGCTGGCCTCAGCCTCCTAAAGTGCTGGAATTACAGGTGTTAGCAACCATGCCCAGCCTGTACTTTCTTACTTTATGAAATAGGCACTGCCTCAAAAACTTTGTGGAATGAGTCAGCGTATAAATAAATAATGCAATAATTAAAATTCAAAGTGTGTCTGAGGTTCAACATTGTTATAAACAAAACAGTATTCTCTAAAAACTGGTGGAATTTTTGTTAAAAAAACAAACCAGGAGCTATGTGAGACTTCTAGTACAATGATTGATTTTAAGTTCACTCTTTGCCTTCAGATAACACTGAAGTATTCTTTTATCCCAGAGACCACACAGGGCAGCTTTGTCTTGGTAATCCTAAGAAGATGTTTCAAACATTTCTTTCTGGTATAAGATGTAATTATTGACTGATTCCTCACCAAAATTTAAGATGAATATCTTAAGTTTTTTGTTTTTTGTTTCCATGAAAATGCATTCATCTCAGATGAGTGTAACAACCACAGGGTGTTCCTTTCTTCATGTTTCTCCTTTCTTCCCAAATAAATGATCTCATACTGGCTTCCCAGTGCCTGCTCTTTCACTTCCTCACTGCTAGTTCTACTGCTTGTTTGTTTGGGGGTTTTGTTTTTTTGAGACCCGGTCTCACTCTGTTGCCCAGGCTAGAGTGCAGTGGTACACTCATGGCTCACTGCAGCCTCAACCGCCCCAGACTCAGGTGATCCTCTCACCTCAGCCTCCTAAGTAGCTGGGACTACAGGTGTGTGCCACCATGTCTGGCTAATTTTTTTATTTTTTGTACAGATGGGGTTTCACCACCTTCCCCAGGCTGGTCTCAAACTCCTGAGCTCAAGATATCCACCTACCTCAGCATCCCAAAGTGCTGGGATTACAGACGTGAGCCATCATGCCTGGCCTACTTGTTTTTTGTTTTCTGTTGTTTTTTTTTAATGATGCAAATGTAGTCACTCTGGTTAGGTTGAAATCAGAAATTTAGATAACTGATATTTTTATGCCACAGGGATATATACTGAACAGTTGTCTTATGACAGATTCCATATATGTCCTGCTTTGTGTGCCACTCAAAATCTTTTACACTTGCTATGATGTCCCAGATCCTCAACGCTGCACTTGAGTTCATCTTAACCATATTTACTTGATCCACCTGACACCTTTCTCCTAAGAACTTGGGAGACCATGCACAGGCAAACACTTTCTTAGTGTTAGTGTTATTCAGGCAGGATGCCTGGACATGCCAGTACACTTTTTATTGAAGTATATCTGTCTATCCTCAGTAAACTTTTTATTGAAGTATAACTTTTTTTTAAATGTACAAATCCAGGCCAGGTGTGGTGGCTCAAATTTGTAATACCATCACTGTGGGAGGCTGAGGCGAGCAGATCGCTTGAGCCCAGAAGTTCAAGACGAGCCTGGGCAACATGGTGAAACCCCATCTCTACTAAAATATATATATATATATATACATACATACATACACATACACACACATACATATATTTATCATACATATATATATATTAACTGGGCATGGTAGCATGCACCTCTAAGCCTAGCTCCTTGGGAGGCTGTGTTGGGAGGACTGCCTCAGCCCAGGAAGTGGAGGCTACAGTGAGCCAAGATTGCACACTGTATTCCAGCCTGGGTGACAGAGTGAGACTGTCTCAAAAATAAATAAATGTAAAAATCTAAAGTGTACAGCTAGATGAATTTCCACAAAGTTAATACATCTGTGTAGCCCGGCGCAGTGGCTCACGCCTATAATCCCAGCACTTTGGGAGGGCAAGGCAGGTGAATCATAAGGTCAGGAGTTCAAGACCAGCCTGGCCAAGATGCTGAGACCCAGTCTCTACTAAAAATACAAAAATTAGCTGGGCATGGTGACATGTGCCTGTAATCGCAGCTACTCAGAAGGCTGAGGCAGGGAATTGCTTAGCCGAGATTGTGCCACTGCACTCCAGTCTGGGTGACAGGGCAAGACTCCAGCTCAAAAAAAAATTTTTTTTAAATACATCTGTATAACCAGCACCCAGTCAAGAAACAGAATCTTACCTCCCTCAGTAAGCCCCCAGGTACCTCTTGCTGCTATTTTTTCTTCACCCTCACCAAGAGAAACCACTCTCCCGACTTTTAACCCCATAGATGAATATGGTCTGACTTTGTGCTTTATATTCATGGAATCATTCAGTATGTACTCTTTTTGTCTGGTTCCTTTTCTTCATATTTTGTTTGCAAGCTGTATTTATAATGTTGTAGCCTATTCTCATTGCTGTATCATATTTCATTGAGCAAATATACCACACTCCTACCACTGGTGGACATCTGGGTTGTTTCAAGGATGAGGCTTTTATTAATAACGTTGCTGCTTTAACGGTCTTGTGACACTACCTTTTTAGTGAATTACAAACAAAATTTCACTTCGCTTGCATTTCTTTTCTTTTCTTACAGAACACTGTTGGAGAATGGCAAACCGTGTTCTGTATTGCTGCTGTTATTAACATTTTTGGTGCCATTTTCTTTACACTATTTGGCAAAGGTGAAGTACAAAGCTGGGCTCTCAATGATCACCATGGACACAGACACTGAAGGAACCAATAAAAAATCCTGCCTCTATTGATGTATTTTTATTTATCAGGTAACTTGAAAGTGCCTTCAGTATTTTATTGTGTAAGCATTCTATGTTTTTTTAATTGTACTTGTATTCGATTTTTAAGACCTATAATCATGAAATGTCACTAGCTGCCAGACTAATAAAATGAACTATGTTTACTTATGAATAATATATATGCTAGAACTTCTACTTTAGGTTCACATACCTGCCCGCAAGTTGGGCAACATGAAGTAGGAGAGTTCTATTGATATTTTAGGGCCATACTTAAGGGAATGAGCTGAAACAGACCTCCTAACCTTTGCTTAATTACACTAGATGATAATTCTCAGGTATTGATAAACACCTGTTTTTGTCCACTTTCCTCATAAAAATTGTCGGCTCTGACACTTAGATCTCAAACTTTTACATCTCTGTGGAGCTGCCAGCTACCGTATAATTTGGCCTGGCAACCATACTGAGGGGAGTGTGCCCCGGCAGCTGCCAAGCACTCCCTCCTTGGCTTCAGTGCCAGAGTGCCCAGCATTTATCAGAGGCAGCATCCAAGCCCAGAGCCCGTGTTCACTCTTCGGCTGGTGCCCTTCCTCCAAGGAGCTATTAATGTATAGATAAAGCCCTGAGAAGGCAGGAGCAGTGAGATCCACTGCTGTGGTCTTGATGCCTCCTCAAACTTTCCCTTCCCCACACAGAGGAATATCAGCTGCATGCAGCCTGCAAAAGAAAAATCGGATGTGCAGTCAATCACATATAAGATCATCCTGGTTTAAATCTACTCTCACGTGGACCACAATGTAAATGTCTAAGTGCTGTGTTTTGTTGGTTTGTATTTTGTAGAGACAGGGTCTCACTTTGCTGCCAGGCTGGTTTTGAACTCCCATTTCAAGCCATCCTCCTGCCTCGGCCTCACAAAGTGTTGGGACCATAGGCATGAGTCACTGTGCCCAGCCTGTTCTGTGGTTTTTAAGCTACACGAGAATTTTTTTTTTTTAATTAACTCTCACTGTTTGTTCAGTCTGTCTTCATCTAAATTTGCAGTTGCAGTTTAAAGTAAAAGACCACATCACCTGAGACTAGGGTCATCATCTTTACTTCTGGTTCCTGAAATCATATTTTTCCAGTGGACCATCCTCCAGCGGTTGTGGATGTTGAACATGCTTTCAGAGCACCTGTGTGATTTAAAACTTAGTTTATGTTTTGTGTTCAACACTACCTGTAATGTTTTAATTAAAACTGTTTAATGTGACTTGAATAATTTATGTAAATTTATTTTTAAATTTGTAAATAGCTTTAAATTGCTATGGCAATGTTTCTTTTATGAATCATCAAAATAAACCTTTTTGAATTATTTTTTGGGTCTGACAGTTCTGTGATATTTCCTAGTGTCCACAGTGACCATTTGACATTTTTTCTGCATCCTGTTCAAGCCACCACAAAGCTGAGGAACTTGGGCCTCCTAAGGGACACAGCATCAGGAATTTCTGTTGCCATCAACCTGCCAAGAAGGATTCATTCAAGAAGGATAAATAGGGTCCATCCTTCTTGCTACAGCATATGCCCACACTACCCTGATTCTCTCTCTCCCACCTCCTCTAAGGACTTGCTTCAGTAATTCTTCTTTTTGTAAATAATTGAGATAGAGTCTTGCTTTGCTGCCTAAGCTGGGCTCAAGCGATCCTCCCGCCTCAGCCTCCCAAGTAGCTGGCACTACACAGGCATGTGCCATCATGCCCAGTTAGTAGTTCCTCTTTCGTTTACTTCTTCAGACTCTCCCCTCGTTCTTTTCCTTCTGTCACAGAGATACACACGTCTTCTCTAGTCCTTAAATAAAAACACAAAAGTCTCCTGGGGAAATTAAATCATAAGTGTACAGAATATCTATAAGATAACACTCAAAGTGGTAAAGATAGTGTGATGATTGATAGATGATAGATAGATAGATAGATAGAGAGAGAGAGAGAGAGAGAGAGAGAGAGAGAGTGAGATTTTCATTCATGGTACTTGGTTCCTGGTTCTTAACTCCTGTAGCTCCTGTTACAATGTTGGGCCTCTTTAGGCCTCAGAAGCAGCCTCAGCAAACAGAATCTCTCTGATCCTCTCCTGCCCTTCTTTCACGTGCTGCTTTTTCTCCCAAAGCAGGAATCTCCCCCCACCTTTCTGTCTTGGAACTGGTCATAAAGAAATTCTGGGCCAGGCATGGCGGCTCATGCCTGTAATCCCAGCATTTTGGGAGGCCAAGGCAGGCGGATCACAAGGTTAGGAGTTTGAGACCAGCTTGGCCAACATAGTGAAACCCTGTCTCTACTGAAAATGAAAAAAATTCACTGAACATGGTGGTGGGCACCTGTGATCCCAGCTACTCTGGAGGCTAAGGCAGGAGAACAGCTTGAACCTGGGAGGCAGAGGTTACAGTGAGCTGAGATCGCACCACTGTACTACAGCCCATGCAACAATGCAAGACTCCGTCTCAAAAAAAAAAAAAAAAAAAAAAATTCTGGTCAAGCACAGTGGCTCATGCCTGTAATCCCAGCACTTTGGGAGGCCAAGGTGGGCAGATCACGAGGTCAGGAGATCAAGACCATCGCAGCTAATAAGGCGAAACCCTGTCTCTAATAAAAAAAAATATATACAAAAAATTAGTTGGGCATGGTAGCAGTACCTGTAGTGCCAGCTACTCAGGAGGCTGAGGCAGGAGAATAACTTAAACCCAGCAGGCAGAGATTGCAGTGAGCTGAGATCATGCCACTGCACTCCAGGCTGGGTAACAGAGTGAGACTCATTCTCAAAAAAAAAAAAAAAAAAAAACATTCTGTGGTCTACCTTGTTGGATTGCAGGTTACAAGACCCCATGCCCGCATTTGAGAAGAGGTCCTCTTCATATCCTGGAGGAAGAAATGCTGCCAAGAAGAATCTGGATAGGCCTTGCAGGGTTTCCCTGTGAGTCTATTAGTATTAGATCATACCTTCTGTTCAATCACATTTCTATATGGTTGTTATAATCATGACTATCCAAATGAATTTTCCATGTAAGGTCTAATAAGACAGGGTTGGGGAACCTCCTGAGAGCGAAACACATGGAGGTTCCTGGAGGGTGGCATGCCCAGAGAGGGCATGGAAGCTCCTCATCCCTTCCCCCAGACATTGCCATATGCATCTCTTCATCCGTGTCCTTGGTAATATCTTTCTTTTTTTTTTTTTTTCTTTTTCTTTTGAGACAGAGTCTTGCTCTGTTGCCCAGGCTGGAGTGCAGTGGCATGATCTCAGCTCATTGCAACCTCCGCCTCCCAGGTTCAAGGGATTCTCCTACCTCAGCCTCCAGAGTGTCTGGGATTACAGGCACACACCACGACACCTGGCTAATTTTTGTATTTTTATTAGAGACGAGGTTTCGCCACATTGGCCAGGCTGGTCTCGAACTCGTGACCACAGATGATCCACACGCCTCGGCCTCCCAAAGTATGGGATTACAGGCATGAGTCACTGTACCCAGCCTATAATATCCTTTATAATAAACTGATAAATGTTAAGTGTTTTCCTGAGTTCTTTGAACCACTCTAGCAAATTGATCGAACTAAAAAAGGCAATTGTGAAAACCTCAACTTGAAGCCAGTAGGTCAGAAGTTCCAGAAGCCTAGACTTGGAACTGATGTCTGCAGTGGTGGGCAATCTTGGGGACTGGGCCTTCAACCTGTGGGGTCTGATGCTACCTCCCGGTAGACAGTGTCACCACTGAATTGGGAGACACCCAGCTGGTGTCTGTTAAAGAACTGATTGCTTAGTTGCTGTGTGGGGAAAAACCCACAACCATTTAATCACAGAAATCTTCTGTGTTTATTGTTGTTGAATGAGAAACTAGCAAAAAACAGTTTGAGTGGATTTTTCCACAAACAGTAGTTACCTCTGGAGAGAGAAAATCGGCAACTAGGGATAGGAAGGAGAATTAATTTTCACTTTACCAAATGTGGCAGTACAACCTATTCAAATAAATATATTGTTTTATTTTATTTTATTTTATTTTCAGATGGAGTCTTGTTCTGTTGCCCAGGCTGGAGTGCAGTGGCATGATCTCAGCTCACTGCAACCTCTGCCTCCCAGGTTCAAGAGATTCTCCTGCCTCAGCCTCCCAAGTAGCTGGGACTACAGGCGTGTGCCACCACACCAGGCTAATTTTTGTATTTTTAGTAGAGACAGGGTTTCCCCATGTTGGCCAGGCTGGCCTCAAACTCTCAACCTCAGGTGATCCGGCCACCTCGGCCTCCCAAGGTGCTAGGATTACCATGCCCAGCCAAATATATTGTTTGAAAAACAAAAGACCTATTGCCCAAGCTGTTGTGTAATCACTACTCAGTTTTCACCTGCCGGCTAGACGCCCTCAGCTGGCTATCCTTCTTGCACCTGAGACTATTTAAATCCAACCTCACTCGTGCAGCCCCATTCTAAATAAAACTGGCTGTTCCTGTTGCCTTCTTATTTCTGTTAAAAGTACATTTTCCCAATCACTTAGGCTTGGCCCAGAGTCATTTTTGTTCCTCCTTTCTAGCCTCCCACCAAACCCCTGACTCTGTGTCTTAAACAACCACCTGCCTTTCCCATTCCAGTTTTTTTTAGGTTTCTGGAAGTTTTTGTTTGTTTTGAAACAGACTCTCACTCTGTCACCCAGGCTGGAGGGCAGTGCTTACTGCAGCCTCTACTTTGCAGGCCCAAGAGATCTTCCCACTTCAGCCTCCAGTATATTGAGCAACAATATATTTGGCTGGGTGCAGTAATCCTAGCACTTTGAGAAGCTGAGGTGGGCAGATCACTGAGGTCAGGAGTTCAAGACCAGCCTGGCCAATATAGTGAAACCCCATCTACTAAAAGTGCAGTGGTACCAGCTATACTACCATGCCCAGCTAATTTTTGTCTTTTGTGGAGATGGGGCTTCACTATGTTGTCCAGTCTAGCCTCCTGGGTTCAAGTGATCCTTCCACCTCCGCCTTTAAAGTGCTGGGATTACAGGTGTGAGCTTCCATGTCCGGTCTGGAATTTTTTTTTTTCTTAATCCTTCTACCAGGCCAGGCACAGTGCCTCACACCTGTAATCCCAACACTTTGGAAGACCAAGGTGGGTAGAGCCCAGGAGTTTGAGACCAGCTTAGGTAACATAGTGAAACCTGGTCTCCACAAAAACTACAAAAAATTTTTTTAAAAAAACTACAAAAAATTAGCTGGACATGGTGGTGCATGTCTGCAGTCCCAATACACAGGAGACTGACTTGAGTGAGCCCAGGAGGTCAAGGCTGCAGTGAGCTGAGATGCCACTGCACTCCAGTCTGGGTGACAAAGTGAGACCCCTTCTCAAAAAAATAAAATAAAAACCCTCTGTCATCTCCTAAGAGCCTAGTGGCTTTTGTTTCCACCTAGAATAGAAAAGAGAAGTGCTATCACTGCCTTTAGTCTTGTCCTCTTCTGTCCCAGCTTCCCCTCGGTGTTGAGTTCATCGTCCCAACACAACTAATCTCTCCGATCAAGGTGCTCCCCCATGGTGAGGCCCATGGCTTCCTGGGCCTGACCGGTAAACTCTCCCACTCAGCAGCTGCGCCCTCCCCATCCCCAGGTCCAGCCTACCCTACCCTCATCGCCACCATGCCTTGTTGCAGCCATCTGGCTGCTTCACTCCCCATGGCTGCTCTCCATTTTCCCTTTCCTCTCCATACCTTTATTAATTTCCTTCCTTGGGTCTGGAAGATCTCACCTCAGCCTTGCCACCTCCTTCATGACCCCTGATTTCCTCCACCCTCCCTGATCTAGATGTGGTGTCTTCCTTTGACCTATTAAAATGCCATAGTATTTATTTTGGGGTTTTCCTTTAAACTCAAGGATTTAGGCTCAGTTATATGGAAGAGAGAATTTCTTCATTCAGCAAATACTGAGTATCTACCAATTGCTAGGCAACAAGGACACAGAGATGCATCTGACACAGCCCTTTCCCTCCCTGAAGCTCCTGCTGGCTCCTTGACTCCTTGATCCCTTTCTCTTTTTTTTTGGAGACGGAGTCTTGCTGTGTCACCCAGGCCGGAGTGCAGTGGTGCAGTGGCGCGATCTCAGCTAACTGAAACCTCTGCCTCCCAGGTTCAAGCAATTCTCCTGCCTCAGCCTCCCAAGTAACTGGGACTACAGGCACACACCACCACACCTGGCTAATTTTTTACATTTTTGGTAGAGATGGGGTTTCACCTTGTTGCTCAGGCTCGTCTCAAACCCCTGAGCTCAGGCTATCCACCGAGCCCCTTAAAGTCAACAGCAGTGCAAGCTTTTAATGAACAAATATGCTAACCTCCAAATAAGTTATAAGTGGTAATTACTAGC